GTTACCCTATTTCTAGGGACCAGGCCCTGCCAGGATCTGAGGCAGGAGGTAGTCAACTGAGTGCCACAAATGATTACTGACTTTTAAGGTGGAATAACTCCACCCATGAGTACTATGTGGTCCAGTAGAGGTGTCGGCTTTTCTCAATGAGGTTAGAAATCTGTCAAGGGGATGTATTGAAAGGGTTATTAGTAAGGGGGCATATAGAGGTGAAAGCAAAGATTGGAATATTCTTTTACATTAAAGTTTGGAGTGTTCCTCAGCTCTGGTTGCTACCATATGAGTTTTTCCTTCTATGCAGATGCAGGCTGCCCAGCTTACTCAATGAAGTATTACTGTGTCATTTTTGACTCTGATCTCCCTGCATTAGGGTTTTGGACACAGGGCAAGTTCCCCTGTAGACAAAGCCATGCTTTTGTTCAAAGTAGAGTCAGGTTTGCCTCTTGCCTCTGCCCAGACATTAGTCAATGCCCATGGTGAGCTGACATCATCTCTGATTTCTCCTAGCAGCATATACCTCACTCCACACGCCTTTCCAGATTTACAGCTCAGATATATTTGCCGTGTTGGATCTTCAGATTTAGACATCTCCTCCTTATACCTCCAGTACATGGAAATTTCTATTGGGTTCTTCTACTTGATAGTATGCCTTTAACAGTTTCTTTTAAAAAAATCTAATGGAGAAAACATAATGTGATTAAAACTATTTTGTTATGATACTACAGTTTTATAAAGTTTTGTAGCATATGTCTTTGTTATTACTATTATTATTTGTGATGTTGGTTTTTGCTGAAATGATAATCTTCATAGGTAAGAATATGCACAAAGGAGCACTCTCTTTGGTCTTTTGATTTTCATAGAGATTTTATTTTTAATTTTGTCTTTTTTTTGATCACAGAAAAATGTCTTCAACTTAGCTAAAGACTAAACCCAAGTAAAATAACAATTGCCATAGCAATAAGAAACTCTGGAAATGTCCCCAAAAGGATTCTAATTTTTAGAAAATGATAGTATTTGGTGTGCAGAGTTCCAGATTGCTAAGACTAAAATAAAAACCTAGAGACCAGGGAACCAAAATTTTTACCAATATTTATGGCTTTGCAGTTGCTGAGGGAGCTCCAATTTCTTTGACTTGAGCACAATCCAAAACACACTGAAGTTTCCGTGTTAAAACAAATATTAACATGAGATTGCTCACAGAGGTGAGTCAATGGCCAACACAGTGACTAAAGTTCAAGTATAATAGTCCTTGTGCATTCTTCTGGATTGTTCACAGCTGCATTCTATACCCAAAGAAAGTCATCAAGAAAATCAATATTTAGGTCGACAGGAACAGTTGGTCTTGCTTTGAATGATCTCAACACTCAGCACAGATTGCTTGATAAAGGTTGTGATTTGGAGCTCATAAAATCCCAAAGAATGTATGCATTAATTAATTCAACAGCATTTACTATGAGCCAACTAATATATAGTAGATTTGCATGTCCTACACAAGTGCTAAAGGTGAAAGGAAAAATAAAATATGTATCCAACTAACAATAATACAATGTAGCACATGCTGACATAGGCATATAAACAAAATGCAAAGAAAAGAAATGAGAAGGACTCATTAACGTGATGGGAAGCAGCCTTCTAAAATGGCTCCCATTGATCCCTACCTCCTGGTATTCATGCTCTTGTATAACCTCCTCCTCTTAAGTGTGGGCTAGACGTAGAGGTGCTTATAATGAACAGAATATGACAGAAGTAATGGGGTGTCATATCCAAGATGAGGTCTAAAAGATCATGGCTTTTATCTTGCTAGTACCTCTTCTCTTTCACTTGCTCTGAAGAAGCAAGTTGACATTTTCTGAGCTGCCCCGTGGAGAGTTCCACCTGGGAAAGTACTGAGGGCAACCGCTGGCCAACAGCAAACAAGGAACTGAATCCTGCCAGCAGCCAGATGAGTGAACTGAGAATTGATTCCTCCCCAGTAGAGCCTTGAGATGGACGCAGCCCTGGCCAGCACTTTGGTTGCTGCTCTGTGAGAGCCCTAAACAGAGGACCCAGTTCCTGATCTATAACACAAGACAATAAATGTTGTTATAAGCCATTAAGTTTGGGGGTAATTTGTTATGCAGTAATAGATAACTAATATAATCAGGAAGAAAAGCAAGGTTAATTGAAACAAAAGGAACAGTATTTGCAAAGATGAGAGGGTGTAGATTAAATTCTGGAATGGCAAATCATCTTGTGTAGTTACAGCATGAAGTGTTTTTTGGAGGAATGACAGGCGATAAGATTTGAGGTGAGGGTTTGAGGTCAAATTGTAAAATGTGTTCAGTGTCATTTGTATCAGTCAAGCTTCCCTCCGAGGAAATAGAAACTTCTCCAACTATTTTTTAAAAAGTTTAATGCAGGGAACTAGGTACCCTTATGAAATCATTGGAAGGGCTACAAACTGAGTCCGATCACTGCTATGACTGGAATTGCCTCTCCACATCCAGGAAGCTTGGCTGGATTCTGGAACTTTGCTGAAGATAAGTCCAGTATCTCCAGGATCATGCTTGCTGCAGCAACAGCATAAAGTTTGTCTCTCCTTTCTCTGCCTTCTAATTCATGAGGGCATGTGTTAATTGGCAAAAGCTAATTTGCATTACATAAATCCAGCTGTACAAAGTCTGGGAAAAGTAGTATTACTGTTCCATCCTCTACAATTTAGGAAGCCACACATATGAAATGGATGCTGAATGTCAACTTAGCATATCCACTCCAGATTGTGCTGTGTTTGGACTTGCTTCTGGAAAAAATAGGGAGACCTCAAACGTTCTAAGAAGGACATGATAAATTCTATATCAAAGAAAATTCACTCTCATAGGATAAAAGTATGGACTGTAGGTGTGACAGAGAGTTTGCTAAGACTGGAAATAGGGAGAGTCATGGTATAGATAAAAAGTGATGAACTCAGGTCTGAGAAATAGCAAGCAGAGGTCAGAGAATGTATGAGATAAATTGAGTTCATTTCATTTCTGTCAATATCTAATGTCACCATTCAAACTCTCTGTCTCTAATTCACATTCTCTAACTGATACTTGTCTAGGGACTAAATTTTCTTGCTATAATGATAGTACCACAGGAACTATATTTTCCTATTGTATAATCAAGTCTAATAATTCTTTTTTGTTATTATGCTTAGATCTCTGTGGTTCAGGCTTGGTGTGGTGCTGAAGTGAAAGAAACATAGCAAAGCAACCATCTGAAGTCTGATTAACCTCAGAATAATCTCTCTTTATTTTTGCATTTCTCAAAAACCATGAAAGAAATTTAAAAACATATGCCACATCAAAATTTATAAAAATTTCCTTTTCAACTCTATTTTCATTGCAGCCCATAATCATTCTGGGGTATCTTCTTCCACATATCCCCCAAGTCTCTCTCAACACCTGGCCCCAAGCTGGGCAATCCAGGTGTGCCCCACCTGGGCTGTGTACATCTTTCTGTTGTAGTTAAGCTGCAGTTGCTGTTGGCATGACAATGGGGGGGCTTAACCCCAGGCTGATCAGCACAAAAACTGGCTTCAACAGCTGTGGACAATCAGTTGTGCAGTGGCTGACCCCATGGATCGTGATTTACTTTAGCAGGGCTCTGGTACCCACTGAGTTTACCCGTTGAGTGTGTTGCCTGTGGAGGTGGCTCTAGGGCCTCCTGGGAGGTGCAGGCCAAGGTCAGCTGCCATCTGTGTTTTCTCCAGGATCTCCCAGCATGAGCTACAAAGCAATCTGCAGGTGGCTGCTACTTGTGCTGGGCTTGGAGGTGCCCAGGATAGGCCAAGTTGAAAGCAAAGGCTGGCAGCTGCTAGTGATAGGCCTGAGTCCACTTAGCAAGAGGTACAGGGTATGATAGCTACTGCTTGTTTTAGAGATTTTAGGAAAGTCTGAAGCCAGAGCCAAGACAGGCTGTTCATATGTAAAAGCCACTGGGAACAACTTAGGTGGGCCCATAAATTAGGTGGGGTGGGGTCTCAGGGATTGTCCCCCTACCTCCTGGGTAGGGCATATACCTGTCTAAATTAACAGAAGATTATAGTATCCTAATATGTAGGAGATGCCCATAAGATGTCTCTAGTGTGGGAGATCTGATTATTTGTCAGCACAAGTTAAAGGAAGACCACTAACTTAGAGTTTTTCCCTCTTTTTCATTGTCATTTCCTGAGAAATAGATGAGGCTGATAAAGCTTAAGGACGGACAAATCAGAGTTTCAAATGTCAGGGTCAGGCCGGTTATAAATGAGCAAAATGGGCAGGTGTGGGGGGAGCAAAAGGCAAATGTGTTACCACATCTCGTAGGAGATGCCCCTTTATTTTGGCATGAGGGTGCTAAAGGGGAGAGAGCACAGCCCTCTAAAGAGGACAGCCACTGCTCAGTATCGGGTAACTGTTGCTATGAGGGACTGTGGGTTCTCTCTCCAGATCGTCCCATTTTTCAAACATATCCCAAAGTATACATATGTGAACTCTCTTCATTTTTAATTCTTGGCAATTAAACCAAAATTTAAGATAATACTTTGTGGGCCAGCCAAAAAAGACTATGCCAGCCAGTTGTGGCCTCTGAGATAAAAGGATCATGGAGATGGGGCCCAAGGTGGGCGGCACTTTTGAGGGGAAGGAATTGTTAGCAGTCTAAGAAGGAAAGACTAGAGAGGAGAAGACAGGAAGCTAGAGAAACAGGGCAAATGAGCTGTCCTGAATCTCCCGCTTCCCGCTTCTTGTGGACTTGGAAACGGATTGGAATGTAGGACCTGAGTCCTAAGAAAAGGACTCTGTGTGTGTGTGTGTGTACTTAATTAACTTAAAGTTAAGACCATAAAGCAAGAACAGTCCCACATGGCAATACATATACTTTGGGTTTACACTTGTTTGTAGTTTAACAACCATACTTGTCTCTTACTTTTGCAAACAACAGATTACTTTTATTTTGCTTGAAACGTATAATATATCCATGTAAATAAGAGAGCAAAGAAGTTTTCTAAATGCTTTTATTTTTGGCACAAATATTTACAAATATTTCTGCACCTCTCAGGTTCTTCTTGCTGGAAAAAGGAGAGCTAGTGATACATTTGTTAATGACATTAAAAATGTGCATTGGTGTATAAAGGTAATAATGTACTTTTTAGCTATGTTAATAATAAATTAACATTATAATGGTTGCCATATTAGAGAAAATTAATTAATTAGTCTCAGAAAAAAGTAGTTTTAAAAGTGGATAAGCTAAGGATATCAAAACAAAACAATCAGCTTCAGACAACATTGTATTATATGCAATCTTTTGTAACTGAACAATCTTTTGTAACTGAACTATATTCAGTTACAGAGGGTAATACCTTGTATAGTGCATATATAGTAGGTGTTCAGCAAATTTTTGTTGAATTTTATTGCTTTTTAACACAGTACTTTATTTCAGTGATAATTAACTCAAATAAAAATAAAAATTTGTAAGAAATATTCTTTGGTTTCTTGTGTGTGTGTATGTGTGTGTGTGGAGGGGGGGGGAGAGAAGAAGAGAGAACAGGAGCAGCAGAAGAGGGAGAAAAGAAAATGTTTGTATTTCTGAAGAGTGATTCCAACTCCAATTGCTCAGAGATGAATATTTTGACCCTGTCTGTAGTCATAGTCCCTGCTGACAATATGCTGTCATTTCCTCAACTTCATTCTTTTTCTTTGGTTTGGTTTTACAGATATCAGGTCTCAAGTCATGGGAATCTCTATGGCCTTCAGTTGCTAAAGTTTTCCTTCCTTCTTTTGCCCTTACCTGGCTCAGAAGAACATGCCAAGTGGTGTAAATGTTTCCTTTTCAGAGCTGAAGAAGGGATCTGGGCTCTGGAGTCAATAGAGAAAGCCTTGGTTTCGGTGGCTTCTTGGCTCTCTACTCACCTATTCTCAGCCAGCCCAGAGGCCTCTTCTCAAATGTGCCCTGGTTAGCTGTTTTAGATCCCTGTGCTTTGAAAAGCTCCTTTCTCCCACTGGGATATTATTAGGACATTACGAGGCTAGAAAAGCTGTGGGAAGCTCTGGAGGCAGAAGGATAGGATTCAGCAAGGCTTGCAGTAAGAAGGGAATTTGCTGTTGTTACCTACATAGTCCAAAGGTGCCCCTGAGCCAATTCCAGGTAGGAAGCAAGGCTGGACTTTCTTGTTTGGTTCTTTGGCTCTCTTAGTTTCCCCATTTGGGGCCGGGATGCGTGTCAGGAAAGAAATCAGCCTCAGGTGTGTTCTCTCATTTCTTTCTCCTCTAAACTTCAGCTTCCAGGCACCGCACTGTAGTTTTGGGAGGACTCTTGGGCTCTTCTGGCTTTTTATCAGTTTTGTTTGATTCTTCATTGAGGTTGCTATTATCTGCCTTCTCCTCTTTTACTACTTTGGTTTCAATCATTTCCTTCTGCTGATTCTTGTTTGTAAAAGGGAAGGCCTTTACATACCTGTAGGCATAAACATAAAATCAAAGTGAGAGGCTCCTATGTGACACATATAACAATAAATAGTGCTTTGTCTGTGATGTCCGTGTTGGCACAGAACACTGGGTGCTTTTATTTCAGAGAGATGCTAACACACGTGCACTCAAACACATTAAAAAACATCCCCATTCTAATGGACTCATTTAGACGGGATAGTAAGCACAGAGGCTAAACTTTAGGCTGACCTCACAACCCTCCCCCTCAAAGGAAAGAATTGAAAATCAAATAAAGCATATACATTTTCCTCAAGATGTCAGTCTTTTCCTTTTATTTCTTGATTTTCAAAGGGACAGCCATTAACCCATTATATAAGCCTGGATGATGATGCATGTGCTGAAATAGTTGGGAAGACTGGATGGTAGGGAGAAGAGCTGAGATGAGGGAGAAAATTTATAATATAAGAGGACTGCCATTTCCATTTTGATCAGAAAAATGCTAATAACAACTTTGGAAAAACACAAGAGGGGGGTATCGCAAAGATTACAAGACTAACGGTAGGCCACTAACCCTACCTTTTGACGTAGCAAATGGCAAGACCAGCTGCAGCAGCAAAGAACAGGAGTGCAAGCACCAGTAGAGCCGTGGGAACACCTGGAGGAAACAGATATGGCCTGTTGGTCCTTCACTTGTACACCAGTGCTGTGCACAGCCCTTTTAATGATGAGTCCTCACCCCTGATTGAGACACAGATAGTGAAGGAAAAAAGCCTTTTCTATGATGGCACAGGGGCCACTTAGGATGCTGGGTCCACATCTGCTTCCTTGCTTCTTGCCTGTAGAACCCTTGGCCTTGCCTCTCATGCTCTTTCTATTCTGTAAGTTGCAATATGAGAGAAAGAGTCCATTTCCTCTCTGTGGCTTTTTGAGGATAAGTTGGGAGCTAATTAACCAAAAAGAAGTGTTTATTTTTAATAAGAAAACAAACTTTCTAATCATATGCATTTAAGGTATATATTTTTAAAAAACTTCTAAACATTAAAGGTAGTAATATATTTTAAAAGTCTTTGAGTTTGACAAGTGAAACTATTTCATACTCATGATTTTTAGTTTAATCATTAAGGGCTTTTTTTTAGAACTCTCAAATTCTATGACTATAGAAAGTTGAGTTTGCATTAACCTTTTTATTTGTGTTTGGCAAGTCCTGAGTGCCCAATCTGGAGACAGTCTAATTTCTATGTATTGTCTGTTACACACACACACACACACACACACACACACATACACCAGACATGGAAAGCTTTACCTCCAAACCCAGCACCTTCATTTTTGAATCTTGATGTATATTCACCATGTGATTCAGTTTCTGTAGATGTGGTGGTAGTTTCCATATAAACTTCTGTTATGCAAATTAATTTCCTTTTTCGTGGAGAAGTGGAAGTCAGAACAGGAAGAGGTTTAGTGGAGTAAGGGACACCAGTAGATGAAGTTGGGTGTACATTGTCTCTGCCATCCATTTCTGTGGTGTATGTTGTACTTTGGATGTGGAATATGGGATCTTCGGTGGTGATAATTTCTGGAGAGCATGAGTTAATCCAAATATCTGTTGGGGAGGGAAAAACAAAGTGACCAGTAGCCTCCTAACTGATCTTTCTGCCTCTAGTCTTACTTCCTACAATTGATCTTAGCCAAAAGGATGAGAAGTGATAGTCTTACTTCCTTATACTATAGCTGGAATGGTCTTACAAAAATGCAGATCTAATCACAGACTTCGTTCCTTAGAATCTCTTGGTGACTGCCACTATTGCGTGGCCTGTAAGGCCCTCCATGATTTGGGCCAGCTGATGTGACCAGCCTCATCCGATCAGTCTTTCTTTCCTTCCTCCTACCATACTGAGATTTCTTCAGTTCTTTGATATGCTTTCTCTCACACCTCTCACAGGCCTTTGACCTTGATGCTTTCTTCCCCTGTAGTACTCTTTGCCCCCTCTTTATTTTATTTATTTATTTATTTATTTATTTATTTATTTATTGAGAAAGAAAGGGAAGGAGAAAGAGAGGGAGAGAAATATCAGTGTGTGGTTGCCCCTCACATGTCCCCAACTGGGGACCTGGCCTGCAACCCAGGCTTGTGGCTGGCTGGGAATCAAACCAGTGACCCTTTGGTTCTAAGGCCTGTGCTCAGTTCACTGAGCTACACCAGCCAAGGCTGCCCCCTCTTTATTTAGTTCTTATTTATACTCCAGGTCTCAGATTGAACGTCTCTTTCTTAGGCAGACTTGATGACTAGATTGGGTTCCTAGGCATATGTTCTTGTGCCTCCTTGGATTTCCCTTGTCACAGTTCTCATTACACTCCTTCCCACTGGCCTGTCTTTGTCATCATAATATGCGCACTGTGCCTAACACATAGTACATGCTCAGTATTTGATGAATAAAGGAAGGAAGGAAAAGTGAAAGGAAGGAGAGGACAGGGAGAGCAAATATACACACAGGACACCACTTCAGGACAAAGGTCTACCAAAACCAGATTGCTCTGCATTCATCAAAAAAGGGTGGGGGAGGTGAGGGAGAGAGGTAGGTTTGCCTTTCAATCTGTTGAATGTGGTAGAGAGGAAACTAACATTTGTTGAGCATCTTGCTCTGAGTCACCACAGCACTTCTTTTAACAATTTTATCAAATCTTCATTTAGATAGGAGGAAACTGAAGTTCAGAGAAACTGAATGACTTGCCCAAAGTCACAGAAGTTGTAAATGGCAGAGCCATGAATACATTATAACATGAATTTGCATCTATTTAAAATCCTTCATTATTTGTGGCAGTGGGTAGTATCAGCGGGAATGTTAGCTATAAAGAAAAGTCATTCCATTCATTTTTGAAAGTTAAATTATAAATCAAGGTCATGGATATTATAGTACTGATAAAGCATTTGACTACATACATATTCAGTCAGAATTTTATGCCATTCATTTTACTTTGAAAGATCTCTATTCAGATAGACATCATCTTTGACTTTCTCTGCCCTGAACTTTTAGCTACATTTCTCATTTTTGAGCAATGCTGAGTTCTTCCCTCAAAAAAAATGAACCTTTTTTAATATCACAGAAAAAAAAAACAACTACTGAGTATAATATACTATGCTGGGAACTGAAAATATAGAGATAAATATGGTTCCTGTTTCCAGGACAGAGAATTTTGATAAGAAGAGGGGGAGATCACTGGGGATTCACAGAGGAAGTGGCACTTGGGCAGGGTGTGGGGGATTAATGTGTTCATTCAGCAAATATTTATTGAGCTCCAACTCTGTGCAGGCACTGTTCTAATTGCTAGGGACACAGTGCCAACAAGACAAAGTCCCCACTTGTAAGGGGCTTATATGATATTGGAAGCATAGAGATAATAATTTTTTTAAGCCAGAAATGTCAAAGGATGGTAAATCTTGAGAAGAAAATTGAACAGGATAAAACTTAAACTGGAAGGGGTAGGGAAGGGGAGACAGATACTCTGGGTAGGGTGATAAGAGAAAAATCCCTTTGTGGAGGTGATACTTAAGCTGAGACCTGAATGATGAAAAGTAGCCAGTCATTGAAGATCTAGAACAAAGGAATTGCAAGTAAAGAGAACAGGGAGTTCAAGAGCCTGAAGTTGAATGAACATAGCATGTTTGATTGGGGTTGCGGGGAGAGGGGAAATAGATTGGCTGGAACTGAGGAGCAACTCATCTAGTATGGAAGGGGGAATAGAATATCCCAGTCAATTGAAATAAGCATGATCCAAGAATCCAGAAGTTTGAAAGCATAGTTATGTTAGAAAAATGAGAAGGAGCACAGTGAGGCTGGAGAGTAGGGTGTGTGCGTGACTGGCAGCATGACAGACTGCAAGCAAGAGATAAGATTGGGAAGACAGTTTAGAGCCAGATTATTGAGATTCAGAACTGTCGTGTTAAGGAATTTGGAATTTATTCTGTAGAAGCAGGAATTTTCACCTGGACTCCACAAACTGATATACAAAAGTTCTCAACTGATATATAAAAGTTCTTATATATGCCCACTTTTATATTGCTGTTCAAGTACAGTTGTCTCCATTTTCCCCCTAAGTACCCTCCCCTGCCCCACCCATCCCTGCCTCCCATCCTTGATCCTACCCACTTTGGCTTTGTTCATGTGACCTTTGTACATGTTCCTTGACTACCTTTCCCCTATTTTCCCCCATTAACCCTCCTCCCCATCCCCTCTTGTTACTGTCAGTTTGTTCTTTATTTCTATGTCCCTGGTTATATTTTGCTTGCTTGTTGGTTTTGTTGATTAGGTTCCACTTATAGGTGAGATCATATGGTATTTGTCTTTCACCATCTGGCTTTTATGTGCAGAAGGCTTTCTAGTTTACATCATATTCTTAAATGGGAAGTTATCTAAGGTTGTGGAGCAGATTAACATAATTATGAGTGGAGGTGTGTGGAGGATGAAATACAGAGGGAAGAGAGTACAGTCCAGAAGTAAACAAGATGATTGTAATTACATGGAAATAGGGGAATCCAGAAGTGTCTGGACTCTGGAACTTAGATCTTAAAGACCTTTGAGGGAAAAGTGATTCTCAACCCTGGTTGTGGGTTGACTCATCTGGGAAGCTTTAAAAAAATATTGATGCTCAGAACCCATTCCAGGCCTATGTTACTGATGTGTGGTTATCACCATGGAAGGTGCTACAGGGAAGTAACATGATTTAAGATTTAAATCTTGGCTCTGTCCCTTATTAACTGTGGCCGCAGCGTGGTACACTGTTTAAGTATCAGTAGAAATGATATACTTGTGTCCTTTTACTGAGGATTAATGAGATAGCAAATGATACAGCCTAGCACAGTGTATAAACAGAATAGATAAGATCGCTTCACTAAGTGTAGGCAAGAATGCCCTAGTGTGAGGGAGCAGCAGCTCTTTGGTCCTGTGATCCCTCATGGGTCAAGGACACAGTGTACCTATCTCACTTGAAAGTGTTAGGAACTGGCTCTCCTTCCCCTACAATCTACAAAAATAACTTCTCTAGAATGTACCAAGTGCTCTGGTTGGTATTAAACACAGAGTGGGGTTGGAGTCCAAGAGGAAAGGTAGGAGTAAGGGGTATAGGAAGGATTTCTGGAGAAGACGACATTTGAGATTTAAATGAAGAGAAAGTTAGCCAGGTGGAACAGGCTGGGTACAGTGGCAGAGGGAATAGCGTGAAAAAGATGATGCATACGGAGCTTTAAATGCACTTTGGTTTGATCCCCAAAGCTGACAAAAATAGTGACAAGAAAGATACAGTTGAAAATCAGTGTTAAAATCACTCTGATCCCCAGACAAAGATGGTAATAAGAAAGGAAGTTACAAAAACAAAGAAGCATGGGGTAAGTTTAGGATTAGCATTAGGATGAGGGTTAGGGTAACTCTGATCTTCACAAAGATGACAGGCAGAAGCAAGTAAACCTAATTCATTTCAATAAAATAATATAACCACTCAGAGCAGTGAATTTTTTCAAGTTACTTTGTATAAAATTCTTTGACAGTACATCCAGTACATCTTTAGAGGGATATCTTCTAAGGACTGAAAGAAATGCAAAAAAAAATCTTATACACCTCTCAGTAGGTTTTTTATTTCTAATAATGTTGACTTTGTAATTTTGAAAGCATTGTAGAACAAGAAAATATATTTAAATTATTTGTTGGGAACTAACATGTTTCACATAAGAAAAAAGAGATACAAATAAAAGTAAACTAAGGAAAAACTTGAATTGTTAAATTTGGGCTATATATATCAATAAAAATCCATAACTTTAAAACATATATGTGTGTATGCATATGTGTATATGTACTATTTGTGTGTTGGGGGAAATCATCAAGAGGATGTGACTACCTGTTGATTGGTTTGTCAGCCTTGGTTAATTGGAGGCCCCTCACTCCCTTGTTGTCCTTGGAATGTGCATTCTGCTTTACTTTTTGGTTCTAGAAGCTGTCCAAGGACCCAGCTTTGAGATAGTAAGGTGTTGGTTAAGACCATCTAGATGGTATATGTGACTGAGCTCAGTTAGGGCCTCCTGTGTACATGACCTAACCCAGTGAAGGCCTCTATATAAACTTATGAGATTCTGGCAGGCAGTGTAGTAACCTACCAGTCTTGAGGCCACCCAAGACAAGACTCATAAGTAAGTTCCTTTTTTTTAAAACCTGCCACCTACCAATCTGGAGCGGTTTGTCCTTACCTTAGTCTCTCCCTGCCCTCTGCATACAGGGACCAGTTTCGGATTATACGTGGAAGCTCCTAAGGTTGTAAACTAGCAGTATGTATATAGATATTCTTTTTAGTGGACAGCTGGGAAATATGCATATATTTTCTAGCTGTCCACAAAAAAGGACTGAGAAGCAATGCAAAATCCAGTAGTAGTTAGAACAACTTGCATCCAGATCTTGGTTTTTAATTAACATTCTCCACTTTAAGGAACCAGAGCTCCTTGGAGAAGTAAATGGCTGATAACATGTCTGGAACAGACCAAGTACAGGGCAAACCTGGGACATGCTATTATGCCAGAAAATAAGGATTTGATCAAATACTAATGAGATTGTTAATAAAAGCCAACTAAAAGGGGCTCCCACTTGCCAAATTTGGGACAGTTTGAGCATCAAAAAGAATAAAAATTGTGTTCTGGCTGGTGTGGCTCAGCTGTTTGGGGTATTAGCCCATGAAATTGAAAGCCTGCAGGCTTGATTTCCAGTCAGGGCGAATGCCTAGGTTGCAGGTTCAGCCTGGTCAGGGTGCATAAGAGAGTCAATGAATCAATGTTTCTCTCTTGTTAAGTGGTCTGGCACTAGCAGCAGCCAGCCTAGATTCACAGCTTGGCTTTACCTCGGAATCTCTAAGCCCAGCACAAGTACCAACCATCTCGGATTGCTGTATAGCTCAGGCAGGGTGGCCCCAGAAAGAACACAGGTGGGAGCTCACCTTGGCCTGTACCACCTGGGAAACCCCAGGACCTGTGCACCCCAGTGGACAGCTATAGACTACATCAGAGCACCACCACCCTGCCCCTGCACAGCTGATCCTCCATGAAGGGCAGAGGTTGGTGGTCAGTGGTTATAGACAATCCTTGCAACTGTCTGGCCTGGGTAAATCCCTCTCATTGACCTGCCAACAGCAACCAAGGCTCAGCTACAAGAGGAAGGTGTACTCAACCCACACAAAGGGCACACCTCAAATACCCACCTTAGGTGATAGGGAAGGCTGTGCCACTGGACCCTACAGGATACCTACTACCTTAGGCCATGCTACCAAGACAGGGAGTCATATAAGCTCTACCTAATGCATAGAAACAAACATAGGTAGGCTGTGAAAATGAGGAGACAAAGAAACATGGCCCAAATGAAAGGACAGATCAAAACTCCAGGAAAAGAACTAAATGAAATGGAGATAAGCAATCAGATGCAGAATTCAAAAGACTGGTTATAAGGATGCTCCAGGAACTTAGTGAGGACCTCAACAGCATAAAAAAAGATCCAGTCAGAAGTAGAGAATACACTAATTAAAATAAAGAACAATTTATAGGGAAACAACAGTAGAGTGGATGAAGCTGAGAATCAAATCGATGGTTTGGAACATAAGAACACAAAGAACAACCAATTAGGATAATGAGAAGAAAAAAGAATCCAAAAAAATGAGGATAATATAAGCAGCCTGTGGGACAACTGCAAGCATTCCAACATTTGCATCATAGGGGTAACAAAAGGAGAAGAGGAAGAAACTGGAAATTTGTTTGAAAAAATATTGAAAGAAAACTTCCCTAATTTGGTGAAGGAAATAGACATGCCCATCCAGGAAGCACAGAGTCCCAAACAAGATGGATGCAAAGAGGCCCACTCCAAGACACATCATAATTAAAATGCCAAAGGTTAAAGATAAAGAGAGAATCTTAAAAGCAGCAAGAGAAACCAGATTATTACCTACAATGAGTTCCCATAAGACTATTAGCTTATTTCTCAAAAGAAACTTTGCAGGCTAGAAGAAACTGGCAAAAAATATTCAAAGTCATGAAAAACAGGGACCCACAGCCAAGATTGCTCTATCCAGCAAAGCTGTCATTTAGAATCAAAAGGCAGATAAAGAGCCTCCCAGAAAAGAAGAAACTAAAGGAGTTCATCATCACTAAACCGTTAGTATATGAAATGTTAAAGGGACTTATGTAAGAAAAGAAGATTGCAGCTATGAACAATAAAGTGGCAATAAATATATACCTGTCAGAAACTGAATAAAAAAAACAAATTAAGTAAATAGTAACAGAGGTAGAATCATGGATACAGAGAGATTTTTGGTGGTTGCCAGATAAGAGGGGGGTATAAGGGAGTGGGTGAAGAGGTGAGGGGATTAAGAAGCACAAATAGGCAGTTGCAGTATAGCCATGGGGATGTAAAGTACAGTGGAGGAAATAGAGTAGCCAATGAACTTACACACATGTCCCAAGAATATGAACAATGGTGAGGGGACTGTCTGAGGGAGTGGAGGGTTCTGGGTGGAGAGAGGGGAAGGGGGAAAAATCAGGACAACTGTAGTAGCATAGTCAATAAAATATAATAAAAACTATAATAAGATACCACCTCATACCTGATAGAATGGCTATTGTCACGAAGACTGGTAATAACAAGTTTGGGAGAGGCTATGGAGAAAAAAGAACCCTCATTCACTGCTGGTGGGGATGTAAACTGGTGCAGCCACTATAAAAAACAGTATGGAGGTTCCTCAAAAAATTAAGAATATGGTTACCATGTGATCCAGCAACCCCTCTTCTGGGTATCTACTCCAAAAATTTGAAAACATATATTTGCAATAGGCACCCCTGTGTTCATTGCATTATTCATGATAGTCAAGACATGGAGAAAACTGAAGTGTTCTTCAATAGAGGACTGGATAAAGAAGATGTGGTATGTATAGACAATGGAATACTACTCAGCTGTAAGAAAAGGTGAAATACTGCCATTGGTGACAACATGGATAGATCTTGAGGATATCATGCTAAGTGAAATAAGTCAGAAAAAGTCAAGAACCACATGATTTCATTCATATATGGGATATAAAACTGAAAGCAACAAATGAACAAACAAAAAAAAAACAAGCAAAAACTCAAATGCAGGCACAGTGTATGGTGGGTACCAGAGGGAAGGGAGCTGGAGGAGGCAGCAAAGGGTAAAGGGTCAAATGTATGGTGACAGAGAAGATTGACTTTGGGTGGTAAACACATAATGCAATGCACAGATGATTTATCATAGAGTTGTTCAGTTGAAACGTATATAATTTTGTTAACCAATGTTACCTCAATATAATTACTTGAAAAATACAAACCAAAATAAAACACACACATAAAAAGAAGATAACTATTTTTACAGCTCCCCTCTCCCCATACATAGTAACTGATTCCGGCAAGGATCATCAATGGCTGCTTAAACTATCAGGCGAAAGATAGTCGGGGGTCAGAATATTTGAATGGTGTCAAAATATCACACCGTAGACCACACATTGAAAGGGGGAAACATATCTTTGAGTTCATCAGAGAGGTCTGGCAGTCACCATCTTAACCAAATGATCAAAATTATCATATCAATAGTGGAACATATTGACATTAAGTGCCTTTCATCGGTATGTGATCCAAAGTACATGATATCATCTATGCAGTATTTTTGCTAAAAATATCAAACATCCATCTAACATGCATTTACCTTTAAGTAAACAAGAAATATAGGGGATAGAAGTAAAAGTTAAATAAAACTGTGGGAGAACTTGTGTACCCAAGTCCTCTTTCCCTAACTCTTTTTTGTTGAGTCTAGAGGGCTGGTGACCCTATCATCACATTGACAGCCGGCAGGAAGGCCAGGCAGTTAAAAGGCCAAGCCATTTGACAGGCATGGGCTGTCTATGAGATGAGCAAGATAAGCGGTGTATGAATCACCAATTCCCCAGCCAAAGATGATACAGGCTGAACAGGCAAAGGGGAGAATGGTGGTGAAAAAAATGTTGGAAGGAGCCTTATGTTCTGGTCTGGACTCTTCAGCTGACTATAGGACTTTGGACCAACCAAACCTCCATTCTTAGCTATAGCATTCATAGTTTCATCCGTGAAGTGAGGGAAGGATACAAAGCGTTTTTCAGGTCACCTTCTATGCCAAAGCCCCCTGGGTCAGAGGACTGCTTGGACCCTGTGTTGCCTTTAGGAAACATATTGCTGATGCCATTTTTCTCTTGGATCTTAGAGAATGATTTTGGAATCTATCCTTGTGTATGACCACTCAGCTGGATGACCTTTAGAAGGTCAGATATTTGAATATGTATGAAGAGAAATAAATCAGGCAGAGGTTCTTATGACAAATTGAGAACAATTTGTATTTAGTAAATGAAAAAGGTTTCTGAGAAGGTACTTAAACCTTTCTGGAAGGTAAAGCACTGGGGGTAAGGCAACCAAGGTCTCCAAGCAAGGCCATGAGCAAATCAGTTCTACTTTGTAGCTTTACCTCCTTCCTCCGTGAAATGGAGATCAAGTCTCATTCTAAAAAAATGTCAAATGTAGCATCTGAGTTTCCTCTCCTGTAAAGGAATGTAGGATAATGGCAAGAGCATGGCTTTAGAGTTAGGTTTCTGTTTAAATCTTCATAGTAACGAGATCTCAGACAACAGTACTCAGATCCTCTGAGCTGCTTTTTCTGTAAAATGAGGATGATTAAACATATCTCATGGGAGAGTGTCAAGGTTCAGTGAGATAACAGCACATTACTTTGTCCATAATAGGTATTTCCTTCTCTTCTTATTGTTTATTTTATAGGATGGAGTGGGGGAGGTAACACGGAGCCTTCTGGGATGCCCTTCCCCTGATGTTGCCAGTCAGTCGCATTTTCCCTAACTTTTTCCTCCAAGGGGCACCCTGCCACATCCAGCCTGGCCACAAAGTCGGTCTTGGGAGGGTTAAATAACCATTGCTATGATTGCTACTGCTCAGGGTTGCCCTTCTCAGATATGTTGTAGAGCTAGCGAAACCTGGAGAAAATGCATCAGATGGAGAGTCTGCAGATCTGACTTACCAGATGAGTTGTGACAATAGGCCTTATACTTTTCATGGAGAAGCTTACTCCAAGTCAGGACACCCACTCCATTCTTTCCACACTTGGGGTTTGGGAGAATCCGAGAGACGACTAAGAGCTGGTCTGAAACCCATCCATAGCTGTAACAGAACATATTTGTTGAACGATTACATTGATCTCTATGGCTGAACAAGAACACAGAGCCCAAAGAGCTCTGGCCCTGTTCGTGAATCCAGCTGTTTCTCACCTGCAAGTCTCAAAGCTAGACTTCCGTGCTGCTTCAACCTGATCTTTGCTGGCTAAAGTTAGTCCCATCAGCCTACAGGCCTCCTGGGCTTCTGTGAAGTTCAGCTGCGGGTTTGTCTTTTTTTCCACAAGGGTCACCCCCATAATTCTGCATGGCATTGCGGAAAGCTCTGCAAAGGAACCACACAAACCCTCAGTTTGCTACTGTCCTCATCTAGAGCCCTTAGGCTCTTCTTCTTGGCACAGTGTTATTGTCTTGATGTAGCAGTGAGGTCATTGTGGCTGGGATTAAAGTTTAGAAATAACGGGACACAGACCACATATTTCCCACAAGGACGAACTGCTGGGTTGGTGGGTGCTCGGTCTTATCCAAGCTGTACCACTCATCAGATCCAAGTTCATTCTGCTGTTCTGCATTGAGGTGCCTTGTTTGTTATGTGGAAGCTTCAGCTACTACTTTCTAGGTGATTCTGCTGCTGCAGACCTTTTTGGAGTCCATAAAATGAATGGTCTGAGACTTTGGGAAACATAGAATTCAGGTCTCTTGCTAACAAAATAGCAATACTTCAAACTAATGTGGATTGGAGATAACCCTATTCAGAGCTGGGTTGAAAAATGTTGCACTTGGTATAACCTGAACTTTTTCAGGCCCAGATCTTCTCTGACCATTGGGGGGCAGACTTACTCAGAAGTTCCTGGAGGAGCTAGGCAGTAAACCTGCATGACAGAGAAACTAAATGAAGTAGAGTTTTGGAGTCGTATCTGGATTTGAATCTAGTTTATATATGTCGCTAGCTGGCTCTGTGACCTTAGGCCTACTTATTTTATCTCTTTGCCTCAGTTCCCTTGTAAAATTGAGAGAGTAACAATACCTATGTATAGGGTAGTGAGAGTTAAATGAATTAATTCAAATAAAAATGTTTAACATATCACCTGCTACACAGTAGGTGCTCAATAAATCATAAAGAACATTATCATTATGTTATCTTTAAAGCATTTTGCTTTTAGTACTCAAATTGTTTTCCTGCAGAAGTGGAGGCACTTGAATTGTTAAGATGTGAATATTTTCCTCAAAATCTAATGAATCTGAGAGTTCTTTTAATCCCTTCCTTTAGTTCTGAGGTTTATAGACCTATATGAAATTGTCAGTTGCAATGCCTTTAGGTACATTATTCCTATTGGGTTTCATCCCCAAAAGTCCATATAAGTGTGTTTCTGTCTTCTGAGTATTTGCTTGTACACAGATCTGAGCATTGGATGCCCAGTTAAATGCTTTGACCACTTTCTAGGTGAGTATTTAAAGAAAGATTCTTGTGGAAAGCATGGAAGGAGCTTTTCTAAGTCCACCATGTGACCTTGCTGTGCTCTGGGCCAGAGGCTGCGGGAAGAAGTATGGGTATTATGTGCAGTACTTGTGGGTGGCCTTGTTCGCTTCCGCACCCTGCTCTCACCAAGGGCGAGACCTGAGGGTCAGCATTCTGATGCAAGTGTTTGTGACCAGACAGCCTCTTACATGAGAACCATACCAATATTAATGCCAACTTCTGTAACCTGTTGATGCTACTCTGTGCCAAACACTGTCTTTTTTTTTAACAGAAAATTGAGGCTCAGGGAGATTAGTAACTTTCCCAAGCCCAGGGATCTAGAGCAACTAGTGGCAGACTGGCAGCACAAACCCAATTACAGCAGACTCTAAAACCTCACGTCCTAACCAGCACACTGTTCTGCTTCCCACTGTGCTATGGGGAAAAGATGGACACACACACACACACACACACACACACACACACAACTAGAGTTGAACTCTTGGAACACACCATTTGTCTTAGAATTTGGTTCATTTATCCCATGAACTTGCTATTGCTGGAGACTCTTAGGGCTATTTTTTTGGGAGGGGGTACTTGCAGATTTATTAATTACACTCTAAAGTGGTCTTGATACTCTCTCATCATATCTCATTTTTACTCTAAATAATATTAGTAGTAGTAATGGCAGATCTATTCTGGGTAACACACCTAGCTTTCAATATTTCTTATAATATTAATTGGCTGTGGGACCTTGGGCCAGTTAGCATTCTCATCTGTAAAATTGGGATGCCATGTCTTCTTCACGGAATTCTTGTCAGAATTGAACTAGATAACTAGAACCTCGCAGAAGCTGAGTCCATAGTAGGCTGTTAATAAATATTAGTCATGGTTAAGTATTTTAAAATTTTATTTAAGGACAAAAATAGGCAGCTGGTATCCAAGGGGTACACCAGCAAACTCTTAAGCATCCTCGGGAAATGATGGGCATGGTAGAAACAGTATATGCCTAGCTGCTAGACCGAGCTGAATCCAAACCTGAGCTTCATTATTCACTGCCTTTACAGCAGGGACATCAAACTCACTTTCACTGGGGGCCACATCAGCCTTGCAGCGGCCTTCAAAGGGCCGAAATTATTTTAGGACTGTATAAATGGAACTACTCCTTAACCATTATGGAGCTGAAATGATATTCAGCCCTTCGAAGGAGGCAGCCTCGAGGCCGATGTGGCCCTGGTGAAAGCGAGTTTGACGCCCCTGCTGTGTGGCATCAGGCACATCGCTCGGCCACACTGAACCTGCTTCTTCATCTAGAAAATGTCTTCTTGAGATTTTATTCCCCAGCATAGGGACACAAATTTCCTTATCGAGTGCTCAGATTTTTATTTTCCCAGAGCTGCAATAAGTGGTTTGTGGTTATAATTCCTTTTTAATATATACTATATATTAAATATATTTTAAATACACATACACACATCCATGCCCTTAACTCTGTGTCTCTGCATAATAGGCCCTTGAGGAGGCCAGCTCCCATTCTCATCCACTCATCTTCATCAGCCCCCATTCCTTCAACCATGGTTCTAAATAACTTTCAGTTGTTTCCAAAAATTTAATTTCCTTAGGAAAATTTTGCCAGTATTGAGGAGGGTCTGAAGAGTGTGATAGAGTCATTGTCAAAGACAATTGAGTAATGGTAGCATTTGGGGGGAAAGTGAATAGTCTTCTCAGGGGGATTTCAAAGAAACCAAATGCATTTGACAGTAACAATTCTAGTAATTGTATTTTTAAAAGATCAATTATATAACTTCTAGCTTTCCTTATAAAATTAAATACAATAATATATGAATCAACTCTGGATGTCAGTTCCTGACATTCTATATCTCAGAGCATCTTCCAGCATCAGAACACACAATTTCCTTTTAATGTACTCAAAGTTTTATTTGTCCAGAGCTGAAATGAGTGATGTGGTTACAATTTTTTGCCTATAATGCAGAATGAGGTTACCATTTAGGCATCTCAAAGCTCAGAAATCATTTCAAGTCATTCCTTTGGTAGAGAGCTGATGGCTAATTTTTAAAACTATATTTCACATTTTTTTTCAGTTTATTTGCTATTTACAGCATATTAAAAACATATGCATCCCCTGCATACCCAGAGTGGTCATAGTGTCTGGTTCAGGAGATGCTGAATATGTGTTTAATAAGTAAATGAATAAATATGTTTTACCCCATAAAAAACCATATGCATCCCATGATAGCATAATATAATTGAAATTAAAATAATTATATTGTCACTTCCAAAAATTTAAAACAGGTCAATATTCTGTGAAAGCTAGTCATTTTCCTCAGGCTTAGTGATTGCTTTAAAAGTTATATAACCATAATTGTCTTCTTCAGTGAAACATTTTTAAAAACAAATGATGTCTCCTCAATATTTTGTTTAAAAATATCCTCATTAAAAATAGTCCATAACCAAAAATGAAAGCCAAGATAACATAAAGGTAAATGTGAATCATTTTGGTGAAGCTGACAATATGGGGAAAACATTTCTGGTAGACCAGTACTACCAATTAGATCTTCTGTGGACATTGAGGGTTACCCCCACTCCCAGCAATGCACAGTCAAGAACTTAGTAGGCTTAGGACAGGTTGTAGGATTTTGCCTTGCCTTGGGCTGGCATTCTGCTAAGAAACCTACCTTGTACCTGGAGAGAGCCTTGGACCAAGAGCCTTGTGGTCCAGATGGATGCAAGAAGCAGCACTGGGCTGAAGCACTTGGTCATTGTGCCAAACCCTTCAGAGCCAGAGAAGCACTTCAGACAGCCACTGGCAGCAACACAAGCATACAATCACCAGTCTGGATGGAGACTTCTGGAAATATGTTGGGGCCCCCGCTGCTCCACTTCATAACTGAGACATCCGGATTTCCCTGCTTTCAAGCTTCTGACTTGTCAAGGTCACTGGGGGAAATGAGTGACGTCCCTTGAATGCCCAGGCTGCACTTTGTGGATGGCTTTCTGGAAAATTTAGCTAATGCTGACTCAGAATACACAAAATGAGGAAGGCAGTTAGCACAATGTGAACTGCTGAAGGTTTTTGCCATTTCCATATTCCCTGCCACTGCCCACCACCCCCACCAGCTCAGTTCTCACACGTTCATTGTCACTGCCCTTGGAGCCCATTCATTTATATACTCCTAGGAATGTCTCTGTCTCTAAAGGAGATTAAGCTTGGCTTGTGCTTTTTCTCTCACAATCAGGGAGGGGTTTTTTTCCAGCTGCATGTTCTTGTGATCTGTGGGGGAATGATGCTAAGGCTCATGAAAGCAAATGCCCATTTACATACGAAGGACAGATTCTTCATGCCTCCCTTTGGGTTTCTTTTATACATTTAAAATTTCTACACCACTACAGGTGGTGCAATCCCTTCTTCAGAGAAACCAGACACACAAAAAATTCCTATTTAAAAAATACTAGTGTGGGGGGGGAGCAATTCACAAAATTAGTCATTTTACACTTTACAGTAAAGGGGTTTTGCCTATACAACAGGAATTCCTACAGGGGCCCTTTACAATAACTTTTTCTTTAATAACTTCTCTTACAGACCAAATAACTTCTCTGGCAGACCAAAATTCAACTTAGACTTCCCCTTTCTCATTTGACAAATGTGAGGTTTTTCTGTACTGTGTACAAGCAGACTGCACTTTCTGTTTTCCCAACCGCATTTCCAGTGGTTGGTCCTCCATAGTAATTATGGAATTCTGGCTTGAGAATGATGCCTTGAGCAAATGTTTATGAGTTTTCTCCAAAATGAATGTCATGTATAAGAATTAGTCTATGGGTAACTAGTTCATTTCTATACAAACAGTATCCCTAAGTTTGATATCTATACAGAAAATACCAATAACAAGGAGAATCTGCACAAACGCAAGGCAACTTCTAAGAGACTGGGGGATAACCCTTAAATATCTCCAATATCTAAATATTTTACTACCTTTAGATCTCATTACTCAGGTGAGCATAAGCCTCAGGCTATGGGTACCTCACAAACATATGTGACTAGCACCATAGAACTAGGTAGACAGGAAAGCAGGTATCATATCCTCTTCATCACTATCCTTAAAGCCCTAGCATCATGCTTGAAAAATACCTAGCCTTCAAGCATTTGCTCAGGTATGACAAAAAGAAAGAAGGAAACAAGATAAGAAGGGGGAAAATGAATCATAGAAAATAAAGCTCAGAATGGGAGAAATAGTTTATGAGAAATGAGATCGACCTAAATTTCAGAAACATATCCCGAGAAGGAAAATTAGTAGGTAATGGGCGTCTGTCTGACTGTGCTGGTACCTAATAATGAGTTTCTGGAAGGGGAAACAATCTTATTTTGGGGATCTCTCTATTGAAAGAAGCTACGCTACCATTGGAAATGTGATTGGAAATGCCTGATGGGAACTCACTCGCTGCCTCTCTTGTTAAGTGTGAATTGCTCAGTCTTAGCTTCTAGGCCTGTCACCCAAGATAGGTCTGAGGAATTTGTTGCCAAGAGCTACAAGCTAAGTGGGGAGCTATAAAGAAAATACTGCCAGACAGTCTCTCATCAGCATTTTCAGAAAGTGTTCAGGATATCACTGCAGCACTGCCCACTTCTAAAATAACAGTTCATGCTGTAATCAGGGAGAAGCAAGAATCTTTGAAAAAGTGCTAAAATTGGAAGGGAAATTTGAAAAGTTAAATGCAAATGGAGAAGCAACAAGTTTCAAAGAAGAGCATAACATATGGAATATCCGGGCCAGTTTTCTGGTTCCCTGGATATGGAATACATGCATGAAAGATATTTAACCTGATATATGCAAATAAAAATTTAAATGGAGCAGACATTTTGCAATGTGGCCAGAAAGATGGTAATATGGTACAACCCAAATTCTTGGACTGAGGATAATATCTAAACTTTAGTTTAAGTTCTAACACTAATTATCTGTGTGACCTTAAGCAAATCATTTAACTTCTCTGGGCCTCAGTTTTATTATCTGTCAAATAAGGGAGTTGAATTATATGGACTTAAAAGTAACATAGCAATGTAATTCTATGATACTGATATTACAGGGATTAGTTGTTTTCTAACATATATAAATAGGCAATGTATTAGTCAGTGTAGTCTGTTGTAACAAATAACACCAAATTTCAATGCTTTAATAAAAAAAGCTTATTTCTCTCATGTTACAAACCAATGGCTGACAATGGTGGTGATTATAATGGTGGTGGAGGTAACGGTGGTAGTGGTGATAGTGCTGGTATATATGTATGTGTATGGGAACGATTTTGTCACATACAGTTATTCAGAGACTCTATAGCTCTAACATCACTTAGTACCTCAACTCCTCCTCCTCAAGGTCTTCTACACTGATCCAGCAACCAGGAGAAGGGAATGTGGAGGATTGTGCTGGAGATTACTGTAGGAGCCAGGCCTGGGAAGTGGCTGTATCACTTCTAACCACATCCCACTAGACAGACTTTTGTCACATGTTCCCATCTAATAGCAAAGGAGTCTGGAATCTAGCTGTGTGCCCAGAAGAGAAAGGAAAAATTATTTGATGAGCACATAGCAGTTTCTGCCAGGGTTTTTTCCCTCCTGATCACCCAGTACAGAGTTCACTGTTTCTACCACACTTAAAATACAATCACCCTGTTCTCAAAGGACAAATCAAGGATCCATCCAGCTCAAAGTCCATGATGTCTGAATTACGTTCAGCCATCCCTCTCAGCTCCAGCTGTGGTACTTGCGGTCTGGTAAGCTATGAACTAAAAAAGTTATATGCTGCCCCCCAAGTGTAATGGTGAAGCAGCATCTTGATAATCTTAATAAAAACAGCCATGTGTAAAAGAGAGAAGCGGGAGACGCAGCAGTCACCTGGCCACAGGAGTTATGGAACACCAATGAAGAGGCATTATTAAGGCCACTGTATCAGCTTTCTAGTGCTGTGTAACAAATGACCACAGATTTAATGACTTGAACCAGCACCCGTTTATTGTCTCACCATTCTGTGGGTCAAAAGTCTGGTGATCTCAGCTGGGTCTTCTGGTCTGGGCCTCATGAGACTGAAATCGAGGTGCCAGCTGGGCTGGGCTCTCACCTGGAGGCTCTGGGAGAGAATCTGTTTACATGCTTATTCATATTGGCAGAAGAATTTTAAAAATTCTGCCCACCACAGTTATCTGCCTTTGATTGGATCCTGATTCTGCTTTCTGGGACAAATTCCCATGTCCCATGTCCACTGTCCTCTGTGGCCCTTCATTTTATGCAATCCACGAAGTGGGAATTAGAGAGTATGTCTAGCTTGCATTATCTGCTTTCTGCTGGTGTAAGCTTAGGGTGCCCAAAGTTGTTTTTCCAGGTTGAACAATCAAAGGAGATTTCAGTCTTGGCTTATGTTTCTCTGCAAATACAGTTTCCTCACTAATTTAAATTTCTGATCTATTTGCTGCAATTTGATTCCATTGGAGTGTCAGTAATTACACCCCAAATCCTTTCCCAGCTATAATCCTTAGGATGTATTTCTGTTTTCTCAGCCCCATGCCTGCTTTTTTTCCTCACTCTCCTCTCTCTCTAATTTAATAGTGGCTAATTCATTTGAAACCATGAATGAAACAGCCATATCCTTAATCTGGTTTTTGCCATAGAGCTGAGTTGATGTGGGTTCAAGTGAAATTTTATTGGTTCTTTTTCCCTTAAAGTTTTTTATAGTCTTACTGTTTGGGGTTTAGAAGCAGTCAGATTTTCTAACCCTTCAGTTGGAACACTGTTTTTTTTTCCTTTCTGCTTCCAAATGTCTAATTCTTTGCTGAGTGCTTTTTACTTTTCTTGCAATACCTTACCAAAGGCAGCCAAAAAAGAGTTTACATTCTCCAACACTGATTCTTTCCAACCACTTCTCCTAGATATATGCTGCCCATGGGCTTACCCTGAGTTATCATGGGTAAGACTTTACCAAATATTTTTGTTTGACTCAACATAGGTCACACTATTTCCAACTCCTGATATTTTCTTATATCAGGAAGTTTCTTATTTCCTGCCTCTCGACTGCTAAGCCAGGGCTTCACATTTTGAAAATTTGTTATTAAAGCACCCCATTTCTAGTTTGAATGTCGTCAGGGTAAGCTAACTGCTCTAACTGATATTTCTGAATTTCTGTGGCTTAATACTCTAAAATTTTGCTTTTTGCTCATATCACAGTTGAGTGCTGTTGGTGCCCATGTCACAGTTGACTGCTGTGGGTGCCCATGTCACAGTTGGGTGCTGTGGGTGCCCATGTCACAGTTGACTGCTGTGGGTGCCCATGTCAGAGTTGGGTGCTATGAGTGCCTGTTCAAAGATGCAGCTTCTACCTGGTGGCTCTGCCATCTTCACTGGCCTCAGGTCCTCACACGAATCCTCTGAATTTGATAGGAAAAGAGGGGAATATAGAGGGTACATGAAGTATTGGGTAAAATGGCTTCTAGGAACCTAGATCTGGAGAGTCTACATTCCCCTGCAGCCAGCTGCAAGAAAGACAGAAAAATGCCATCTATCTATGGAAATTAAGTTGGCAAAAATTCAGCAGTCTCAATCACAGCAAAATGTATTCGTTAAAAAAAAGTCATAGGTCAGGAAGGTGCAGGAAACTGGGATCAGGAATGGGGAAAGGGAGAAGGAGAAGAACTGACTCAGCTGCTGGGACTGGGGACTTCAGGCTTGCTTCTGGGAGACACTGATGGCCAGTGGGATCTATTTAATTCAGGCCCAGCTCCACAAAATGAGGAAGCATTTAGCTGTTGCCAAAGGTTTGGAAATGTGCTTTTATTTTCAAACTCAGGCATGTGACATTCTATAGGTCAATGCTAGCACACCTGTGTGAGGCTTAACAACATTTGGAACTGACAGCCAGTGCTACACGAACCCAGCATCTCCCTCTCCATTTACTCCACCAGGCTGCTGCACAGAGGGAACAATACGTGTTAGCTTTGAGTAGCGGGAAAATGAAGGTCCTTTTAGGTGATATCAGTAATGGCACAAACAACACATCACTCAGCAATTGAGAATAGGCACCCAGAATCCTAGGGCTAAGCAGAAATGTCAGACTTCAGAGACATTTTGAGGGGAACTTTTATTTCAAATCAATATCACTGTTGGAAATACAGGGCCCGTTTCTCTCCATTTCACTGCTGCTTTGGCAACAGTACCATCTGCTTCAGGTCAACCTTTGCTTTTCAGAAAAGAAATAGCAATGAGTACTTTTTCAGGAATACCCTTGGAAATGTGGTTACTCTTACATCCCTTCTTTTCCTCAGCTTCACGTACTCTCAGAGTTTGGGTGAGGGCCTCATCTGGGAATACTCTTGCAAGCCTGTCTGTGGAGAAACTGGAAGTTCAGGGACTCATGGCACACCCTCTCCTGGCCTTTGTCTCAACTGGAAACAAAGGTGGGAACCCTATGATCAAGTGGACAAGAGTCCAGCTCAGCCTGGTCCTTCTTTAGGAGAGGCTGAGACTGGACATTGCCAGCCTAGAGCCCTGTCCCACAGCTACTCTCTCAAGGGCTCTATTTACACCCCGTCTTTGGCTCTGAGGGCCTAGAGCTCCTTCAGTGTGTTTGGTCTCCCTAGAAGGGGCAGGATAAACCACCCATCCATGCCCTGAAAGTCTGTCTGCCTTGATCTTCACCTCTTTACCTTAATGGCACATCCTTGGTCACCCTAGCTTGGGCTTCTCTCACAGTGATTTTCCAGCCACTGTAAATGATGCCCCCCTTATGTCAACCTGCTGCTTTAACATGGCGACTAATCTAGGTGGGTCCTCTGAAAGGAGTGGTTGCATCAAGCCTCCTTCTTGAGCTTGGAAAAGATGTTGCTGGTTAGGCCTCATTTCTGTTCTCAGAGTAAACTGAAGAATATTCGAATAAGTTGAGGCTAAAAAAGATTTTCTTATTGTTGATGGTGCCGGTTTTGGGAAGTATGCAAAATGTCACCTGTCCCCAGGCTGCTCTCCACCACCTCGAAGGCTCTTTTGTTCTTTTGACCAACATCTAATGGCAACCTCCCAAGCACTGGCAACCATACGAGGCCCTTACTCAGGGAATGGGTAAGACATGATTCTTGTCTTCGAGGTAAAAATGCTAGGGGAGAGAGATGCACAAATAGGTCATTGTTAAATACTGTTGTAATGGTCAATGATGAAGATGTTTAAAAAGTACCAGAGAGCACAGAGGAGGGTGTGTCCTATTGTGTGGGGAGTTGTAGGGAGTTGGAGGGAGGTCATTAAAGCCTGTATAGAGGAGACGGTTTTGCTCTTGGTCCTGAAGAGTGACCAGAATAACTGAGAATGGCAGAAGGAAAACTAGTGGGTGGAGGAACAGAGCCGTGAGAGAAAACAGGTTAGTCTGGGAACCAGAAATGGTTTGGAGGTGCTCAAGGACCACTTGCGCTGTGGGACTGGAGTGCAAGGCATCTGGTTAGGAGAACACGGGAAGAGGCGACTTGGTGCAGCGGTTAAGAGCACGGCCCCTGGGCCAACCTGCCTGGGGTGGAGTTCCGGCCCCATGATTTGCTAACTTGGTGTCCTTGGAGAGTTTCTTGTGTTTTTTTGCACTTCAGTTTCCTTATCTGCAAATGAGAAGAGTAATATGCACTTCATAGTTTTTTGTTTTTCTTGAGGAATAAATGAATTAATAACCTATATTAATACCTAGAACCGTGTTTGTCTCATAGTAAGTTTTATATTCTGAATATTAGCAACAAAAACAACTTCAACAACAAAACAAAAACAAAAGCGAAACAACAATAAAACCTACACAGAAACCAATCCCCCCAAACCTGATGAGGGATGAATGAAGGCTGTGAAGGTGGAGTGAGAAGTCAAATTGAAGGTGGGATGTGCTCTGTCAGGGTTCTACTAAACAGCTGGGGATGCTCTGAAACAGATGTTTGAGTTCGAAATTCCATTTAAACTGAAGCACTAAGGTGCAACTGCGCACCTGCATGTGGGCCCACGGAAGCTGAAAGCACACCATGTCTCCTCATTCACCCGAGAAGTGGGCTGACTCCTCCCAATGGGAAGAGAACAACCAGGGAATAGTCTGTGCTGTACAGCAGCTTAGTATTAGTACTCGAAATGGAGACCAGCAAGTTCACCACTGAAGCCATGAGTTTTCTGTGTTCCTCAAACACCTTAAATCCATGTGGAGAGCTCATTAAGCAGGTGCCTGGTGACTGCCCCATACTTAGTGAAAATCTGTGGGCTGGCTTTATCCGGAGCACCCAGAGCACATGTTTGGATGGTTGTTGGCTTCATGCACGTGTGTGCTATGTGTGTGTTGTGTGCGTACAGGTGCATATATATTAATTCACATCTTCCCATTGAATTTCAAGCACTGAACTAAACTCAGCCTGAATATTTTTCTGAGAAACCTTTCCCACTTCTGTAAAGAGAAACTCTGATTCCAAAGTGGCAGAGAGAGAGAGTCAGTGAGAATGAGATGGGAAATGGCAGGATATTCATGTTGTGACTCTAAATTCTAGGCCTGATCCTTGGGGTTGGAGTTAGGCTTTAGGAAAAATTCTTCCTGATTTCCTTCTGCAAAGAGGAAAGGGGGACAAGTGAGTTTCTTACTGTCCCTTGCAGTGAAGGTGTTCTATTTCTTCTGGCCATCTGAGCTAAGGTCAGGTGACCTTCCTTTCCATTAGAGTTCCTTGGTGAAGGTGACTTCTTCATCCACTGGCTGCTCCCCCAGGGCAGTTCTGTTGATCCTCCAAGAACATCAGGTACTATGTATGAATAACTCCCACAGAGGAGCTGATAGTGAAGGGAGCCCTGCTCATTCCCTGATGGGCTGGTGGCAGCATGCCCCCCGCCAGGCCAACAGCGCTGCAATGTGGGGAAAGGATGATGGGCTTGTGTGCTGGAGCAGGGCACTGGCTGGATGGCAGGTTTCCTACTGTTCTGTAGGCTGCTCATGCTGGAGTCCTGAGTTCCACCAGGAGTCCCTCTGGGATGCCGAGCAGGTGGATCTTCCAAGGGGCCCATCGGCCTGCTCCACACAAGAGTTATAGGAATTGTACAGCCCCAACACAACAGTCAAGACCAACATCGCTGCAGCCATCATCCAGATGACTTGCCAGTGCTGACACAGTTTGGGATACATGACTTGTAAGAAATGAACCAACTCTTCAAGTTTGCTGTCAAATGAAAAAATAGATGGATGATTTAGTATGTTGAGCACATATATAATTCCCAGACCCATACTTCTCTGTCTGGAATACATTTCATGCTATCTAGAGTAGTGGTTCTTAAACCCAGCAGTATGTAGGATCACTTGACAGCACTTTTTCAAAATACCCAGGCCTACTGAATAAGAGTTTCCAAAGGTGTGCTCTAGGAATCCACAGTTTAAAGTTTCCCCAGATGATTTTGATGCCACTAGTCCAGAGCCTTGATATTGGGAGCTACTGAGATAAAACACTCTATTTACCTGTTTGATCAGTTACCTATTCACACATGTTCTTGCCTGTTCATGAGACAGTCATAGACATATGAACTCTCCCAAGCCCCAAGATACAAGGTTGGCTGACCCCATGCATCCAGACAGGACCAGCATCTCCTCTGCACTTACGGGTGTTAGTGATCAGTTCCAAGTTCTAACCTTTATCTGTCTCCATGTTCAGATACATAGTTTGTTGCCCTCACTTCCACATCTGACTGTGCCCAGAGTGGAAGGATTATGCTAAACTCCTAGAAGACTCATGATGTCAATGATAAATGACAAGGAACCAGATCAACCTCAAATTCACTTCAAACCACCCCAGGGGCAGCCAGGAGAATAGTAGCTTCCAGTAACCTCTGGGTGGCTTATTTGGGATATTTTCTCAACCCCATTAATGATCATTTCCTAATTTTCCCTTCCTCCTCTTTCTTTCATACTCTTTCCTCTCCCCTTTGCACTCTCTCTTTTCTCTCTTCATCTTTGTGAAGAGCCTTCATCTCTGTGCTCCTCCACTTTTTGCCTGCTTCACCGTTCTCTTCCCAATGGCCTTTCAACTTTTCCGCTCTTTGTGGACTAGTGAGAAGACATTTTATCAGAAGGCCTACTTTGAAGAGTCTATTCTTAGAGTTCTCTGGAGAAGCCCTGGACACATTTATTAACCTAAAATTTCTTCCTGTTTCTAACCCCAGATCTATTTCAATATCTGTCTATCTATCTATCTATCTATCCCTCCATCCATCTAGATATAGATATTAGAAATAAAGTTATTGAGGATCACCTAATAGAGAAGATGAGAAAAGTGGTGGGGCCTCCTGAAGACCCTGAGGCTCACATAGACACTGAAATATGCTCTTTGCTGAGAAGTCGAGAGCTCCGCTAGAGTTAAGAGGAAGAAGATGCCATGACAATGGATAAAATTACTCAACAAATAACCTCTTTAGAAAGGGATCAGATACTCAAGAGTGCCTGCCACAGATGCTAATCTAAGGCACTGATTGGTTTCTTTTCCACGTGGGAACCCTCTGGTGATCATTTCAGGAACAATTAAGCAAAGCAGAAACAGTGAGCACATTAGCCAGGGGAAAGTCATCAGCTATTTTCACAACTGTTGGGAAGGGAGAGCTAGAAATGGAAGCTTATTTTCTTTCAGCTTTATTTAGATTCTTTAGTTTCTATGTAGGTATAATTGGATGCAAAAATGCAGTCTTTCTTTTGGGCTGCATTTCCATGCTCAAAACAAACTGCTATGCTGGTGACAATGCCATTCTAGCCCCAACATTATGTGGGACAGCAAAGGAGAAGGTCAAGATCTGGCTTTGTGACCCTTAGCTGGTCACCCATTTTCAGCCAATACAAGAGGTTAGAAATAGAATTCGATCAGAAATAAAACTCCTTCGGAAGTCAGTTTTTGGTTGTTCTGTGTTCAACCCATTCCTCCACAGGGAGAGGTGAAGTTGCTTCCTCCTCACCTGAGCTGAGAGAGGGACTTCAGGGATGCTGCTTGGAGAGCTCTGTGTGTGGCAGTGGGGGGGAAACAGCAGACTGTTTTGTGTGACTCACACCTGAGAAATCTAAGGAGCAAAGATCTCTTTGTAGCATCAGAGGAGGGGGCCATGATGGGGAAAACCATCCTCCCACCAATAGTGGGCCAAAGGTATATATTTCACCTCAACTGGATGTAGTCAGGTGAAGGAGAGCTGGCATGGGATGTCATGGGTCCTGTCTGGAAATGCTACCGACAAGCTGAACAATGAAAGTATACTACTAGCTGCCCAAGGACCAAGGGAATGATTTTAAGGAGGCAGCTGGAAAAGATGCATTTAATCTCATAAAGGGACCTGTCCCTGAGAGAGCCTGAGCAATGGTGTGAACATGTGTGATGCTGGGTGGGAGGAGCAGTTTTCTCCGGAGGTCTCATCCAGCGCCATTCTGAACAAAGTCAGGAAGTCAGCCTGGAGCCCAGTCACAATAATGCCAGTCAAGTAATGCCTTTCCTACCCCCCAGCTAGATTCCCATCCTCAGCGTTAACCCCGGAGAGGTCAGGCGCTGTGTTAGCAAAGCTGGGGTGCAAGCAGGAGACAGAGAGAAGCCGTGTTCTCCATCCCCATGGCACAGTTCCTTCCTGAAGCAGACCAGAGCCAGGGGAGGAGCTGGCCATTTTAATTACTGAAGTGAGGTTATTCCTGGGACTGAGAATTGACCAGAGGGCTTGCTTTTTCTGAGAGTTATTGGAAAGTGCAGAAATGATCTTATTATCATGTGAACTCCATAAAACAAGTTTGAATAGGCAGTGGGAAAAAAGATAAAAGTTTTTGACATGAGATAGACAGTTGCTGTGGGAGTCATCAAAGCAGTGGACAAGAAGGCAGCTGGAGCTGGCAGTCACCAAGTCTGCCCAGAAAGCTCAGAAGGCCGAAAGAATATTATCCCCGACACCTGGTGCAGTGGTGGAAGGACGGTCTCGGTACTCTTTGTTTCAATTAGCCTTTAAGTTTGATAGTAAAAGACTGGTTAATGATTACAATGCATCAAAAACCTTCAGAAGGAAAGGAGAATGTTTTATGGACCATTTGTTTTGTGTGTGTGTGGCAGTTTTTAAGTTATTAGGTTTTAAAATCAGTATTTTTTAATGGAGACAACTTGACCAAAAATCTGTCAGAATTTTGAGACCCATTAAAAGAAAGCTTAATGAAAAAATAAATAAAGTTTTCTGTTGCACCTTATGGGTCTTACTTGTTCAGGGTATTACTTAAGTGTCAGAAGACTGTGTTCTCTGTTTTAATATGGTTAAGATACTGGATTGATTCACCAATGTTCATTTAAGCTGATCCTCCAGAAAGTCATATTTATAACAGATTACATTATTATATATTATTTAACAGAGGAGATCGTCATACAAAAAGACTTCAGTGTTTGTTGTTTAATCTCTTAAATAAGGGCCAACTGCTGTGGTTACCTCAGTGTTTTGTTTGGTTTTGAAATTCACTAAGGAGGGCATGGAACTTTTAATGACTTCAGACCTTGCTCATTGGTGAGATGGCAAAATTTCATGGGAAAATCATAACTAAATGCAGGCGGCTGCAGGCAACTGTGCAGGTAAAGGACTCAGACATAAATGGATTGCTCGGCACCGAAGACAGCAGCCCTCAGGGCTAGTCCAGCCTGGGTCACAGTTGAGGGAAGGAGTTTTTAACTTTGAGCAGGCAGTTTATATAATAGCAGTGCTGGTCGTCATGGAAACGATGATGCCGCACTGCTGGGCCCCCAAAAGGTGAAGTTATGTGCCTGTGCTGAAGGACAAGGACCCTCCTGAGGGCTGTGCAGCTGGCCACGGTATCTGTTACCTGCTGTATAGATGTGCAAATCTGAAAGGGAGCCAAGTTTGGAGAGAGAACGAGGCAGCTCAGGATCAGTGGGACAAGAGGACACTCTGAAACCACAATGCAAAGGGCAGCCATTTCCTTATGCTGCTGACCACCAGCTGTACAGAGAGGGGCCCGGGCACAGCCTTCCTTTCCCCAGGGTTTCGTGAAATGGGAGGGAGCTGCCAATCATCTGAGATCAAATTAGCTAGATAAGCACTCCAGCCCTGTGCTTTGTAAACCAGACTGTGTATATCCTATGTACTTTCTCTGTTTAGTTCCCTTTTGTTCTTTCTCAGTGTTTGGAAATGTGTTAGAAGTTCCAGCCTGTGTTAGCTGGATTGAAGGGAGCCAGAGGAAGAGCTGGTGTCCTGGCCTGGGCCTGAGCGCATTAAAGGGGAGGAAGGCATTGTGGTGGTCTGCAAAATAGGAGCAGAGGACCCCACGAGAGAGAAGACATAAGGAGGACAGAATCCAGCTGCTTAGAGTAGGGGCTGTGCTTTCATTGTTGAAACTTGGGGGTCCTTTCATTAGGAGAGGTGGTACGTCCAGGCAGAGGTTTGTTTTCAATGGTGAAGCATTTTCTCTGGCTCTCCTAGGTAGCTCTTCCTGTGAACATTGGGGTTAACTCATGCAGGCTGAGACCTTTCACTCCAGTTGAATCTTCCACTAGCCGGGCTCTATTGGTTGCTCCTATGCGCTTTGAAGCACATCTATCTCACATCCAATATTCATTGTATTACTTTATTTGTAGCATGCATGTGACTTCCACAGTCTGCCAGCAATGAGGCATAGACATACACCCTGTCCTAAGTTTAGCAACTAGTTAGATAATTAATGATTTTGGCTGGAGCCATTCTTAACCTTATGATAGGCTGGGGGTCTAAAAAGAAAGATTTTGGTGAAGTGTTCCAAGTTTGCTGCAACCACATTTTTAAACATCGAAATTCAAGACTTCTGATTTGAATGTACCAGTAAAGACAACAGGGTGGAATATATGAAGTTGGGGCCATCATTAAAATCCAGGCTGTAACCAGGTCAAGGTGCAGGATCTACACTATCTTTATCTACATGTTATATCTTTATATATTTTTCCAGATTTAGAGAAAAACACTTGAAATTTAAAGTATATTTTTAAAAACCTCAAGTATTGCCAATCCAAAGTGAAAACACTGTCCAAACAGCTGAGCGTGTTTGATTAGCATGGAGGAACCTGTTGGAGACTCACCTTTGCCACCAAGCTGAGTTTATCCCTTACACCCGTCTGCTCTCTCTGCCTCTGTTTTTATATGTTTTTAAAAAACCTCTAGGGCTTCAGACCAGCTCCCTTGCCCTTGGATCTTTCATGGGGTTGGCTGGAAAAGGAGCTAATTGCAAGTGGGCCAGGAGGGACTCCAGTCAGATTCCCTTGTAGTTAGTTTCTTGGCTCCTGACTACAGCCCCACCCCATGCCCCACCACCTCTGACCTCTCAGCTCTTGCAAACATCCCCTTATTAACTCTTTTGGCTCTTTGGGACCTCCTCTGCCTCCTCCCCCAGCACGAGTGCCCTCCTGGTTTCTGTAGGTTGCTCATTTGGGCCCTAGACCCACTGAGGCCCTGGACTGGCATCTGCAGAGATGTTGTGTGGTTAATGAACCTGTGACCTGTTTCAGCAATGACAAGGACTCCAACCTGCTTCTCTGGTCCTTTCCCTCATCCTCAATGTCTTCTGCCTCTTCAGTATCCTCAGGACTCTCGCTCTTCCGTTCTTCTTCCTCCTCCTTTAGTTCTTGGAGCTCTTTGGTCTTCTTTAGACCTTCCTGGTATCTGGAAGGCAAAAAGGAACAATCGAGTCTGGAAAGACCAGGCACAGGCACAGAGCATCCTTTCCTGAGGGGACTTGAGCACCTCCTATAATTACGCACTTCCTGTGGTTCCACACAACAGGAAAAAGCTGGGAAGCTCCAGTGAATCCTGTGGCCCATGTCAGTACAATTTCCCCTCACTCTTGTCATCCTTCCTGTTTATGAAAGTGTGACAATACTGACAGGGAAAAATGTGACTGGGTTCTTGTCCTACAAAACATTCAGTGGGGCTTAGATTGCATGTTATCTATATAGCTGTGGGGCTTCAGCTCCTCACCTGTAAAATGGAAGTGTCCTTCATCTCACAGGGTGCTGGAATGTTTTGAGGAAGTGTCAGGCATATGGCTTGATCTAGGGAGGGTGATACCTGTCACGCAGGCTTCTTGGGAAATTTTACTGAAGTGACAGGCATACAGCTTGACATAGAGTCAGACACAGTAAATGTTTCCAAAGACAATGGAGGCATTTACCCTCACCCATTCTGAGTACAGAAGGCAGCTGTGGGTTCAAAAAGACAGGCTTTCCAAGAGAAACCCTTTTTATTTCCTTCTTCCAGGATCACTATTACACCAAATACACCCTTTCAGCTTGTCCTCCAGTTGAGTATTTAAGGCCAGCTCAGCTTGGCCAGGGCAACCCCAGGGTGGTGTACCTGGCTGCCACACAGAAGCCCTCAGGTTTCACACCAGTGGGAGGCTGTGTCTCCCTAGGAGCCACAGGGAAAGAAGCTCAGGATGCAACACCTGGTCAGAGGTAATTCTCTACCTGCCTGGGCTTGGCCTCTGATCAGCACCCTGACAAGCCAGAGTTGCCGTTGAAGCTCAGTTAGAGAAGAGGACAGTTGGAAGTTGAGGGGACTCCAATTCACAGGAAGAAAGAAAGGCTGAGGCTGCTGCAGCAAGCAGAGCTGCAGCTAGCTGCTCCTGGGCCTTTTTGGCAGCAACATGACTTGTCTGGGTGCTCAGGAAGCCTCAGGCACCACCAAGAGGAACCCACCCAGAGCCCTTGATTTTCAGATTAGTCTGGGCAGTAATGTTCTGGTGGCTTTTTGCCTAAAAAAGAGAGCAGTCTTGTTATTGTCTGACCACACCCTCTCGCCCTGCTTCCTCCAGTTCTTCCTGTGGAACAGTACTGCTCTTTCCTATATAGTTCCTTACTGAGGCAAGGAGGTCCCGGGCCACTGGCTGCTTCCCTAAATCCTCTAAGAGACAGGAAAAGCCCGTGGGAAGGTATCTTCTGAGACCTGTCAGGTGACCTCAGAGCCCCTGAAGTCTGACTCACCTCTTGTTGAACCCTTCTTCCTCCATCCCGGCCTTGGCCTCCTGGCTAAACTCCTGCAGGCAGCTCGGAGTTGGCATAGGAACCGAAGCTTCACAGTCTTGGTCCCCATTTGTTTTTCCACTAGTGAGAAGAGGGAAGTACAAGGTGTCCTTTCAGGGACAGATTGGGCATCTGAAAACCAAACCATGTCTTTGGCCTGATTTCTGATCAGAAGTGAGGAAATTCATTGGATTGAGTTCATTTCAATCCTTCTACCTTCATAAGATTTATAAAGGCCCTAGTCCATGAATCCTCCCTAGACCCCAAGCATCAATACTGCATCAGTTCCCCCTTTTCCTCAGGCTTCCAAGTCCACTTCATTCTTATTTCAGGCGATGCTGTGGGTGGACAGACAGCTATTAGGAGCTTGACAGCACCAAGATGAGGAAGGTGGAGGCAGACCGAAAGGGTCAGTGTCATTCCGTTCCTGTGTCCATCTTTTGCTTCATTCATGCAAATATCTATCAAGTACTGACTGAGTCACAGGCATCTTGTAATGTGCTGGGGATACATACACAGAGCTTAGAAGGGAAAAAGTCCAAAAAAGGAGGGGCTGGAATATCTAATTCATTACAAGTTGTGATAACTTTCTGTACAGCATCAGAAAATAATGAGAGAACCTGCTTAAACTGAGTGGTCAGAAAAGGCCTGAGCTGGTGTAACTGAAGCACAGACTTAAAAGATGATAAGTCACTTATATCTATAACAGAGGGAAGACCAGTCTAGGCAGAGGATGCAGGGTGTATAAAGACCCTGAGACACAAAAGATGCAGAGATGGTTGAGGACCTGAAAGAAGGGCAGGGAGGCAGGAGTTAACTTTGGGACAAGAGGCATCTAAGTGGAGATGTCAGGTAGGTAGTTGGATATACCAAAGTGAGTTAGAGAAGAGCTCTAGGCTGAAGAAATTAATTTAGCATCACCATATAATCCAGATAATATTTAAAGCAAGTTGGGTGAGTACAAAGTGACTCTTGGATTTGATAATATGAAGGTCAAGAGGCATGACCTTTGATGAAATGGTGGAAGCCAAAAACAGACTGGAACGGGCTTAGTAAAGAATGGGAGGTGAGAAAGAGGAAGACATAGACACAGCATTTGACTAGGAAGGAGAGTAGAGGAGTGTGTGGGAGGATTTCAGAGCTAAAGAAGTGAGTTAAGGGATGAAAGCACATTTGCATGAGAATAGACATGATCTAGTACAGGAGATGAGAGAAAGAGGATAACCACAGGAACAAATTGTTTGAAAAGGGAAGCAGAGACAGACCTTAGAAAGATTGAGAAACCTCCTTGGTTACCACAAGACAGCATAGTAGGTTGTAGGTTGTAAGATGGCTGGGCAGTGCTAGGAGCCCATTTGAAATATGGGACCACATGTTTAAAGGAAGTATCCTGATGGTGATGCCTTCCCTACAGATCAGGGGTGTCAAACTCATTTTCACTGGGGGCCACATCAGCCTTGTGGTTGCCTTCAAAGGGCCAAATGTAATTTTAGGGCTGTATAAATGTAATTACTCCTTAACTAGGGGCAAGGAGCTCAGCACTGTTGCCTGGTAGAAACGAGGTACTGGGCCGGGTAAAACAAGGTGGAGCTCGGGCCTTGTGTTTGCCACCTGTGCTATAGACCCTGTGGCCTTCCTTGGTAACCAGAGTCCCAATGGGAATCATGTCCAGGAGGAACCCACAAACAGGGCAGAAGAGCAAGCAGAGCTTTTCAGCCAGGACTCTGAAAGATCACAGCTGCCACCCTCTCCAACCTCGGACAGGCTCTGTGAGTGAGGCTTACAACTTCTCCTCATTCTTGGCACCAGTCTCTCCTTAATTTTCCTCAGACCTTGTAAAATTTACATTTCATCAGGCTGGAAACCAAAACTCATTGTGAACAAGAAAAATAACACTCCAAAAATATCAGCTATTCATAACATTTCTCCTTTTGCAAATTACATTATCCACTCCCTTCCATGTGACCTTTGCCTATGTGCAGTTTCCTATTTGTCCAAACAACTGGAGCAAGAACAGAAAAACAGCTGCAGCCAAGGGCAGGGAAAGTAGTTCTTTTATTACATGTCTATTAGAAATAGAATATTGGTGTCAGACTTTTAATTTCCCTAATCCACAGCTGTCAGCCTTAGAGGTTAATGATAGACATGTCTGAAGGAGGACTGTGTAATGTAGAGGAAAGGCACTTGCCTCAGGCAAATGGGTTTGAACCCCAGCTCCACCCCATGCAAATTACTTGAGTATCCTGACCTGCAGATTCCTCAGCTGTCAACTGAGGATAATGACACATACCTGAATGTAGTAGTGTAAGAACTAAGGAAGAAATATAAGTAAACTTTCTGCAATGTGGTACTCAACAAATGGTATTATTTATTATTAGTTATGCAGGGAATTTATTGGTAAATTTGGGGAGCAATTTGAAGTTCTTCCAAACCTGATCCATAAAAAAAATCCAAGCTGATAAATTACCAGGTGATTTTTTTTCATATCTTCAGGGGAGAGCTTGGTATAGATTACTGACACTTCAGAATCAGAGGAATCCTAAATGTGACTTTAAAGTATGGCAAAAATGACATAAGATTGCTTTAATAAACTTCTCAAATGTGTGTGTACTGTGTGCTCTAACACACTTATGCACCTTCAAGTTTTGCTGACCAAGTGATGGTAAACAAAGCTTTACTGTCCTCAGGTTAATGCTCGGTGGAGACTAGAACTTTCCTTAGCAGAGCCAGGAAGCCCACTTCAACCACTTTTTAACATGTGGATCTTTTGTCCAGGGTCCAGATGTCCCAGGTTGACTTAATTGCCCTCTTCAAGTCGACTCACCTGTGGGGCTTTAGTTCTTAACATGCTTTCAAATATATTCTCTCTCTTGACTATCCCAATGAGAAGTAGAGCTATTATTTATCCTATATATCAGGCTCTGTGCTACTTAAGACTCACTTAAGACTCATGAATGACCCAATAAGATAGGTAATACTATTGTTCTCAGTTGGACAGGCCAGAAAATGAAGACTCAGTGAGATTAAATAACCAGCTGAAGATCACACAAGCAGTGTTTGCCAGAGCTCAGATTTGTCCTATGCAGTCTGACATTTGCCCATTCCCTTAACTGCACTATATACAACCTGTGTGAGGGAATTATCACATTTAAAAGAGGAGAAACCTAAGCTCAGGTTGAATAAGTGATTGTCTAAATTCACATTATTAGTGGTTGGTGGACCTGGCTGGGACTCTCTCCTTGGTCTTTTAACTTTATGTCAAAGTACACTTTCTGCACATCCTTGAACCGCCCCCCCACCCCGTTTTAACAGAAGTCTTTTCCTGGGGCTCTGAGCAGTGTGTGGGGGGGTCCAGTGTACCTGCTGAGCGAAGCCATGGCTGATCTTATGCTGGATCATGGCTTATGATGTGACCCCTTTTTTAAAGGTTGCTTGTTTAGAATGAGAGATGGGCTGAAAGAACCTCTGGGTTAATAGTAAGGGTAGGATTGGAAGTGGGAGAAACATACCATACGTAAAATGTTTGTTGTTATATTCTGACCTCTAGACTGAGCTTACAGTTGCTGAAATATCTTCTCCAACTACCTGAAAGTTTTTCCTTGGGTGTCTTTCTCAGCTCAAATACTTTCTCTCCTGTGGAATCTTCACCAATGTTTGCCCCTCTCCCACAGTGTGATTGAAGTTGATCTCTCCTTCCCTGTGTGCCCTTTATTACACCTCTGCTACAGCATAACTTGGAGATAGGGTATTTTTTATGTATATGTATATGTACGTATATATATGCCCATCTCTCAATGTGGCTAAGATCACAAGGAGAGAGGCTGTGTTTGAGTTAGAATAGTACTTGGCCCAGTAAGTACCTTTAAGGGTTTGCTGAGTTACATTGACTTTATTGTGGCCTATTAATCTTGTAAAATGGGCAGGTCCTCTCTGTAAGTGGTTGTTTCCCGAGAACCTAGGGTTTGGGTTGAGCTGAAGGAATCTCCATTCAGGGCTGTAAACTTGGAGCTGAGAATAGCCTGTGCCCACCCTGGGGATTTCTGGGCCAAATGCTCATGGATCTTGGCATCTGTTCCCAGCCTGAAATTTTGAATGCTTTTTTTCTGGGATGATTTATGAAAATGAAACTCATTGTTCTCTTATGTCGACCAGGTCAACAATGTTTGTCATTATGCTCACTCTCGGTGACATGAAGGCTATATAGTCAAAATGTGCTGTTTGACGGGCAGGTATATTGGCGTCTATTTTTTTCCAGGTGCTAAACAGTAGTTAAAAGTGACCAGTATACTTACCAATGCACAGACAGATCTCACAGACAGATCTTATCTTCTTGGGCTGAGCAATGTCTCCAAGCCACTCCTACTGCCATGGATCCCTCAGACAAGACCAGCCCAGGAGACCTGCGCTAGAAAAGCTTCCTTACTATCACTCAGTTCCAGGTTCCTGTGGTTTTCTGCTAGTTGACTGAGGGCTAATTCATTCCAGAACACTATCAGCACAGGGAGCTGCTCATTCTACGTATGTGATGTCATATGAAGTCTTTAAGCAATTTATTCTGGCTACTTCAAAAAAGTAGAAAAAAATGGCTATTTTAGAGATTATGGTTAAAATTGCTCTGTGACTGATCAGTGTAATGGCCCCTTTTATAAAACTAGTCCTGTATGTCATCTATCTCTGTGGCTTTGCTGATGCCCCCGATGAACACCTCCACATACCCCCTCACTCCACCCCACTCTGCCTTCCACTCAGTACCCAGCCAGCCAGTGACCAGGTCCTTTCACAAGAGTTCTGTCAAAAATAGCTTTTAAATCTATCCTCTTCTTTCCAGGCATACTCGATGTCTTTCTGTTCTTCTAGCTGGAGAACCCGTTAAGAGGTTAAAAGCATGAATTCTGCTGTGAGCTGCATAACCTCAGCCAAGTGATGGTTTTTCTGAGTTTCAGTTTCTTCATCTATAAAGGGATATTAATACTATCCCTATCTCACATGTTTCTTGTAGGATTAAATGAGATCACTAATGCACAGCAATTAGAACGGCACTTGGCATAAACTAAGCATGTAGCAAATCATACGAGTAATTACCATCACCATCGTCATTATTATTATTTCTTGACTCCATACTTGCTCACCTTAGATAGAGCCTGGAATGTTCTTAACCTCTAGTTCGCCAAGTTAATGTAACTTTCAGGTTTCACTTTAAAAAATAAATCCCTACAGAAAACATTTTCTGAGGCCTCCCCTCCCCCAACCATACAAAATCTGGGCTAAGGTGCCCATTTTTGTGTGTATTGGTTTTTTAGCAACCTGTACTTCCTTGAGATATCACCCATCACATTGCATTATAATGGTCATCTGTCTTTCCCATTAGAATGTGAGTACATTCTGGGTGCCTGGTCCTTGGTCATTAATTGTCAAAGAAATGAAAGAAAGAAAAACAATGAGTAAATAGCTTTCTACTTGTGAGACTGCTCTTGAGCTTTGTTCTTTTTTAATCTTTATGACACTTTAAATATAGTAGTAGTCCTCTATGCTATACACCTGAAACTAATACAAAATAATATTGAATGTAAACTGTGATTTTAAAAAATTTTAAGGAAAAACATATTTTATATATGTATAAATCCCTTCTTATCCATAGTTTCACTTTGTGTGGTTTTAGTTACCCATAGTTTACCACAATCTGAAAACACTATATGGAAAGTTCCAGAAATAAACAATTTATAAGTTTTAAATTGCACACTGTTCAGAGTAGAATGATAAAATCTCAGGTTGTCCTGTTCTATCTTGTCCTGGAATTGAATCATTCCTTTGTCCAGCATATCCATACTGTATATGCTGCCAGCCTTAGTCACTTAGCAGATCAATGGTCATGTATTAAAGGGACTATTTAATAATGGCCCTAAACTGCAAGAGTAGTGATGCTGGCAATTCTGATATGTCAAGAGAAGCCTTAAAGTGATCCCTTCAAGTGGAAAGGTGAGTACAGTACAATAAGGCATAAGACCACATGAACATAACTTTTATTACAGTATATAGTTATAATTGTTCTATTTTATGTTTAGTTGTTAATCTCTTACAGTGGCCAATCTATAAATTGAACTTTATCATCTGTAAGTATGTGTGTGTATGTGTGAAGAAACAGTATATATAGGGTTCAATGCTATCTGCAGTTTCAGGCATCCACTGGGGGTCTTGACATGTATTCTGTGTGGATAAGGAGGGACTACTATATCACTTTCTATGTTGTTCTCTAAGTCTACATGTTCTTAGACCCTTACTGAGTGAAGGGCAGATTACCATGAAGTGACCTACAAAAACAAGGCTCAGAATTCTCCCAAATCACAATGGGCAGTACAGTCAGTTCAGGCATTTGCTTGAGACCTAGCCACAGGCAATTTGATCTCATCTTCACCTTCCCAGCCATTTCCCTTCCTGCTGAGTCACTGTGTGTTTAGAGAAATGTTACATCTTTTTAACATCAAGCTGAATGTAACAACCTAGGAAGTATAGTAACTTATAATGCGTTGTTTCACTTTAACAATATGGAAAAGTCAGCCAGAATTGACAGCATTTGTGTTAGAACAGAAGATATAAATTCATTTTCACTCACAGATTGTCTCATTATCAAATCTCTTAGCACTATGTTAAATGTTTCCAGTTTCATGAATTCAGATAGAAATCACTTAGCACCCTTTAGAAATCCACAGGGGGAAGCTGCTGTCAGTCTTGAATCCCTCTTCCTTTGGATACTCCCTCTCCTTTTTGCAGGCATCTGTATAGGCTGGGTGTGTTCCCAACAGGTGAGTCAGCCACCCCGTGGGCAATGTGCCAGGGTGCTCTCTCTGGGTAGCCCATAGGAGTGAGCTGCAGACATCTTTGTCACCATTGACATTCGTTGCCACTTCTGTTTGGGGCTGCTGCCTGTTGTCCCCAGTTTCACACCTCACTTTTTCCTACCAAGTTTAGCTCGGGTTCTTGCTGATCCCCACTGCCTCATATACAAGTTCTCAGCTGGCTTGAACACTAGTTCCACAGGGTCCGAGACCTGCCTCGTCATGATTAGTCTCCTGAGGAGAGTGGGGACATAAATCTTCTTTTCTTATTAGCTCTGCAGGCCAAGGGCTGGAAGCAGAGCCATGTTGGGGGCCTCCCTGGAGAAGGGGGTGGTGCGTCCAAAGGCAGGATTGGAAGGGAGAAATTTTAGTATGCTTCTCACTCAAGGCATAAGTGCTATTTCTATAGAGATCCATAGGCCATGATTCCAGGAACCTGATAAGATTCTTTAACCTTAGTTACATCCACATGGTTGTTAGTTTGTTATCCCTTTATAATTTCCTTACAGTGACCAGGGAAACAGGGAAGCAAATGAACAAGAGTACCCTATACAATATCAAGGACCTGTAAGCTCATGGGAGGTAAGGTGGCAAAAAGAGGAAATGCTGGGAAAACTTCAATACTAACGTGGAGTAAGCTGCTGAGGGACAACTTTGTGGCTGATATGCTGAGAGGAGACGAAAACAGGCTACGCCTGGGGGTGGGGAGCTTGGGAACTTGTCTGTACTGAAAGGGGGCCCAACATAGACATTCCTTACCAGTCAAGCAAAACTCTCCTAACAGCAATGAAATATAAAAAGGACTAAAGCTGTCTCAAGGCAAGGAGGAAGGAAGAATAGAGGTGGATGTTCTACCAAGTGAGGAAAGACACAAGGGGAAAGTTCTGAGAGGTGGCAGCTGTGATCCAGCTGTTTTCCAGCAAGCAAATGAAAGAACTGAAAAGCAAGTTATAAACTCCAAGTGTGTAGAAACAGCCTGCCTGGCCTTGGCTGAGGATGAAAAGGCCTACAAATTGCACAGATGTGTAGAAAAGTTAGGCACAGCACACCCTGTGGGCTGCCCATCCGTCACTCCTCTCCTTCCTCCTCCCTAACAGCAACACGATTTTGTTTAAGAATTTATTCTTCTTTATGAAGTCATTTTGCTTCACAGGAAGCTGGCCCCCTCTTGCCATCTCCAGGGGACAGTTTAAGACCACAATGATAATCCCATTCCCAAAGCCTGTGACTGATTCCCAAAGCCTGTGAAAAGGTCCAGGCTCCAAATCTGCCAACAAAATAAGAAGGAAGGCTGAAGAAAGGCTTCTGGGTTCATTCACAAGAAAAATACACGGGGAAAGATGGTCCCTTTTACTCTAGAAATTGTCATGTCTGGATAGGACACCTGGAACTAGCAGCCATTTGTCACAAGCCTCCTGTGAAGTCAGTACATAAACTGGGCAGAGGCAAGGAGATCACAGAGAGGCTGCATTGGCTCCGCTGTACCACACCTGTGGCAGCCCCTCCTCGGCATGCAGTTAAGCCCTTTGAGTTGGGGCTTCTTTGTATCTGTGGTCCAGAGAGTCCCAACTAACCTCCGTTGGCTTTGATTTCTAGTGGACCCTTGACTTAGCCACAGCATCTTCCTCATCCAGGAAGTTTGCAAACTAGGTCTGAAATCTTTGTGGGCCTCAGAGTCCCACTTATTTCCCCTAGAACTTAATTTGCTTTCTGTCGCATTTTGGGAGTGAGAATAGGAGAAAAGGTGAATCTGGAAAATTCTCCTCAGAGATCCCCAAAGTTCAGAGGAAAAATGACAAACTTACTTTTCCAAAAGTGCAGGCAGTGCTGAGGTGACGACAGGGAGATTGCCTTTCCCATTAGGTGATTCCGACTGAATGGAAAACGGGAGACACAGAAGTGAGGATTAGCTAGGAAGGAAGAAACCAGAGCTGCTGGGTGCTTGGCGATGCTGGGGACACAGGGGCGGCTGCTGCTCCGCCTCCTTCCCTGTCCTCACTCCTCACACTTTGAATCTCCATCTGAGACCAGGCATTCACCCTCTCCTCAGGCCTCCTCTGTCCTCCTTTCCTTGGCATTCGTTCCCTCTGGGGCACGTGCACAACTTGCAACTTTTACCTTTCCTCTTCCAAGTTTTGTTGAGAGAAGAATTTACATTTGAGGTCCCATTCTGGAGAGGAGCCCTCAGTTTTTCTCTGTCCCTGGTTTACTGACTTGGACTAAATACCGGTGGTCTGCCTGTCAAACACAGGTCCTGGGGACCCTGGGACAGATTCATGCAAGCCCGTCACTGCCCTGGAGACACAGCTCTGAGCACGATTCTCAGGAGATGCCTGTCCTTACTAAAGCCCACACCATCATACATTTCTCTACAATAAATTCTCTAGGATATGACTACATTGTTTTGTTGCAATGAATTTGATTTAAGCAGCAGTTCTAATCTGACTGCACATTAGAATCAACTGGGGGAGAGTTTTGAAAGTACTGATCCTACCCAGAATCTTGGAGTGGGGCCTGGGCATAGAATGTTTAAAAAGTACCCCATGTCATTTTCATGTATGGCCCTGTTTGCCAACCCCTAGCCTGAGGGGATATATATTTCTCCTTTATACACTTAGTATAGTATGAGAAATAGACCATTTAAAACACACTAATTAGCCCTCCCTAGGCTCCTTTAAAAATTTTTTTTGGGCTCCTTTGTTTTAGTGGATGATTTGGGAGTTTATGTTGATTTCAGAAATGATTGAGAAGTTCAAGGCAGGAGGAGGTGAAAGAAGTTAAGAGTTATTGCTGCCCATTGGCACAACAGAGCTCACATCGACTTTGCCTATTGCTTTCGCAATCAGATTGTTTCCTTGTAGGTTATGGCTAGTGGTGAGCAGGGGCACCAAGAAACAACTGGAGAAGAATCAGAAGTTTTAGATAGGATTAACTAGATTCACAAAACCCTGGGGTCTGGAAAATGTTATATAGGAACTGTCTTTGTGTAAAAAAATTGAAGTGGATTTTTCTCTGATTATAAGTACAACATTCTTACTATAGAAATATAAAAAGGCAGCAAGAAGATAAAAATCACCTGTGGTTTTACCACTGCCTATACACAACCATTGTTATTTTACATATATGCTTCCAGAATTTTCTGTCTATACACAGAACACCATTTTTTAAAAAAACTGCACAACAGAATTATACTGCATATACTGTTTTAATTGCTTTTTACTAATAATTATGAATTTTTTTCATGTCAATAAATATAGGGTGGGGCAAAAGTAGGTTTACAGTTGTGAATACATGAAACAGAGTTTATTCATGTATTATTAATTATTATATTATTTTCCATGCAACTATAAACCTACTTTTCCCCACCCTGTATTTACATTCTTTTTTAAAAAATATTTCATTTATTTATTTTTAGACAGAGGGGAAGGGAAGGAGAAGGAGGGGAAGAGATGTGTGGTTGCCTCTTGTGCAACCCCCACTGGAGACCTGGCCCGAAACTCAGGCATGTGCCCTGACTGGGAATGGAACTGGTGACCCCTTGGTTTGTAGACCGGTGACCAATCCACTAAGCCTCACCAGCCAGGGTTGTATTTATATTCTAATCATTATTTTTAGCAACTACATAGAAACCCTTTATAGGGATATCCATAATTTATTTAACTAATCTCTTATTAATGGACAGTTGAGTAGTCTCCAGTTTTTCATCATTGTATAACAATGTTGCAATGGATTGAGGTAGGATCATATTGGGTTTCGAGAATTCAGGCTCCAGAATCAGAGAGCCCATGGTTCAAAGCTCAACTCTAGTGTTATACCGTGCAGCCTTCAGCCGCTTGAGCCCATTGCAGAGAGGGACAAAATCGTACCTACCTCAGAGGGCTGAGGTTTGAGCATGAAAAAGGAGACTGCTTTTAAGCAATGCAGCACCTTGCTCAAGGACACTGAGCAAGGACCTTCTCAGGTCAGTGGGGAGACATGGAGCCTGGTCTATATTGAGAATTTTAAGCTCACAGTCCAGAATCTGTGCTGGGAATGTCCTCACCATGTTGACCCTGCCACCATCTAGGTCACCCTCATATGAGTGAGCCTGAGGGAGAGGTCAAATCAGGCCAGCAGGCAAACGTCACCATACTCACCAGGGCCGGTAAGGAGGGGATGGGTGATGAGCTTGCAGGCTGACTGGGCAGGTTCAGGGCATTAAACTTGGGAACCACGGCAACGCTGACCCTCCGGCGGGGCATGTTCTGTAGAAAAACAAGAGACCAGGCCCACTGTCATGGAGGGAGCAGCACCCACAGTTCAGAAAGACCCTGAAAATACCTAATTATTCCTAATGCTGTAATAACATTCACTGGATATTTGGGCTTTGGGGTGGTGATGGTGTTGGGAGTTGGTGTGGAGAGAGTTGCCCAAGTAGACACAAATTTTCTGTTACTAGTGATGTTTCTATTTGAGTTTCTTAAGTCCTGAAGAAATGAAACAGAAGTGACCCCCAGTCTGGTTGACATCCTGGAGAGTGTATGGAAACAACAGCAATACCAAGGTTTATGCATCATTTCATGTTCATTTAAGGAATGGGACAGTCAGAAAAACCATGAGCGAGGGAAGGTTAGAGGGTGAGCTAGCAGGGGTGAGGAGCGGAACTAGAGACTCTGTCCAGAGGTTCTCTGCCACCCATGGATTCAAGAGTGAGTGCTCTCCTGGGTGACTGTGGAAACTTCCATTGTACTTCCTCTGGGAGCCCTGGTATTCCGTGAACACGCATACCTTTCCCAGAGTGAGGGACATGGACCGCGCTGTGCGAGGGACCCCGTCTTCTGCAACAGGAGGGAACAGAGAGGAGAACTCAGGTAAGTTTTCAGAGTAGGCTCTGGCAGGAAACGGACAGTCAAAAACTAAGTCAAGGTATCTACGGGCCAGAGGCCCCATTGTCATGCTCTTCTCAGATTCTCCCCCTATTGCGTCACCACCTCTGTCACAGCGTGTACTTTTGGGGTCTGCACTTTCCCTACGAGGAAGGAGAAAGTGTTTTTTACCTACTATAGACAGCCCAGGGCAACACCAGGCAAACTCCCTTGATTTCTTTCTCTGCTGTTTGGTGATTGATTTTTTTCCTTGCCCAAGTTCTCTGTAAAGATGCAGTCCTTGGAAAGTCTTCACTTTCGGTGGGAGTCTCAGAGTCAGCTCTCTGGGTGTCCTACGCCTCATCCCAGAAGGCGTGCAAGTGCAAAAGCCCGCGCCCAGAGAACTGAGGCTGACTCCGTCCCAAGGAGGCTGCAGGGTCAGCTCGGTTTCAGTTCCCTTTTCTTTTCTTGTGTCTGAGTACTTCAGTTTCTTTTCTTGTAGATTCAGCTAATTCTTTTGGACTACTGTTTGCTTTACTTTATCCAGCAAAAAGTATTTGTGGTCAAAGGGTCTTCAAGTTTTCTAGTCAGCCAAAATAGCAGAACAGGAAAATATTCTTCATATATGAAGAGTTCATATGCATGATTAAAATACCAATCTTACAAGTGGGCAAAAGACATAAGTAGAAAATTTATGAGAGTAGCAATACAAATGTCCAGTGAACATTTGAAAAGGTAAACAATACAAATTAAAACTATGAGATGAGATACAATTTTGACCCATCAAAGTTAAAGATAGTTTTAAATAGAAAGGACAGGAATGCCAATGGTAAAATGAATTGAGCATTATTGTAACCCAGTAAATGGAAATATCATTGGGTTATTTGAAAATAATTTGCTTTAAGAGCCTGATAAATATGTCTTTCCCAAGCTAGTATTTTTACTTCTAGAATCTATGTTATGGAAATGATCCAGAAAGTAAACAATCAACATGTTTTATATTTAGAAAAATATAGGTGTTATTTTAGAAAAATAGATGCTATTTTTTTCTTTTAAATGTGTATCACTTTTTTTTGAAATCAGAGATATTTCTATTTCACTGTAGTCTTCAGAGTATCAGGCAAAGACAAAGATTGCTGGAAATCATATAAAGACTTTAAAAATAAACTCCATATTAGGGAATGGCCATAGAGTATCTAATGGACACACCAGTTGGGGGAACACACCTGGTGAGTGGACACACCTGTTGCATGGGTGCTGGCCCCTCTGCACCAGCCCAAGCTGAGCTGTAGCTTGGAAAAACAGTGGAGAATAAATGTCTGAAAGCCACTTGTTTACCATTCAAGACTCAGCGACCGTCTTGCTTCTTCCTGTAAGCATGTTCTCCTCCCCACAGATCAAAGGTGGGGCTGTGCAGTGTGGTCCCACGGAAGTCTGCTTACTTCTGGCGCAGCACTGGCTACACTGCTCTGCCCCGCCCCCCACAGGGTTGGGAGCTCTCTGTGGTTTGGAGGTGTGTGCCCTTGACTTCTATTTTCCCGTATCTTGTGGGCATACCAAAGGTGCCCAATAAACTTTGGTAGAATGAATAGGTAACTGCTCATTTCATAAATCTTGGCTAATGTTGTTCACAGTAGACATTGCACCTTGCAGGACAATAATGCGAGGGCCCATGTATTAGGATGCCTTTGATGGCAACTTCCCCAGCTTCCAACCCTGACAGACAGCGGCTTGTTAGAGGCCCAGATGCATGTGGGTCAGGGAACCTCGCTGCCAAGATCCAGAGCAGACAGTCTGGAGCTGGGAAGCATCACTGATATTCCCCAGGAAACTTGTGAAACCTCCTGTTTATAAAGGTTTCTCCATCTGTTATCATTTCTGCACTTTCCCTCCTCCTGCTCTTGGTAACACGGATGTTTGCATTCCATGGGATTCCTGTCACTGAAGTGTCTGTTTCTCCTGCTAACACATGGTCAGCAGCCAGAGCCCCGACCCTGGCAGCTCCCAAGGAGAGGGCCTGTTCCAAGGCACTGTCCTCCTCCTCCTCCTGGACCACTTCAAGGCCTGCTGACCCGTCTCTCCATCCCTCAATGGCCACACTCCCCGCATGCATTACCTGCTCTGAAGCCAGGCAAATCTTCTAAAAGTACAACGTGAAAATGTCAAGTGATGTCAACTCATCAGTGACTCCTCATTGCCTAAGGGACAAAGGCCTGGCATGTGGCCCTGGCTTATCAAGTCTCACCTTCAACTTGTCATTTTCAAACCCCAACACTGCAACCACATCAAACGGTTTCGTATTCTTCCTGTCTCAACCCCACACCCCTGTACGGGCTGTTGACTCCACCTGGATGTATTTCTCTCTTTGGCCTGGAGAACCCCTATTTTTACTTTAAAATACTGCCCAGACATCATCTCTCTGTAAAACTTTTCTTGACTCCATCACACAGAATCAGGTGGCCCCTCCACTGTGCTCCTATAGCGATTTTATAGAACATTTTTAAAGTAGTATATTTCTTTAAAACATTTGTCTTGCCCATGAGGCTGCTAGTTGTCTCAGCAACATCTCCTTTCGCCAGGCTCTCACCCCACCCCCACTGCCCAGACTCCGTCTCTCACTGGGACAGTTGCAGAAGCAGCCTCTTGGGATTCCTTGTCTCTGGCTTTGCCCCAGGAATGTCCTGGCCTTACCATAGTCAGAGGGAACCTTCTAAACTCCATATGTGATCAAGCCATTTCCCTGACTAAAATCCCTAACACTTTTGAGGGTAAAGTCCAAATTCTTCAGTATGTGCAGCCTAAAGGGGTGCCCCAAAGCACAAAGGGCCCGGAGTCCCTCATTTCACAAAGTAGAGTGGGCTTGTGGGCTTCCTGTAAGTGGTCAGCTGCTCTGGTTAATTGTGTCAGAACTCAGGAGGCACTTTGGGGCCAGTCACGTTTTCTGGTCCCAGGCCCCCAGGCTCACTGGAGCAGCACTGGGCAGGGGTAATGAACCTTACTCAACCTCAAATAGGTCCTAGGGAAGCCCTCAATCTCAGCCTAGAGACATCAGGGACCCACAATGCAGCCGTAAGACAAGGGCAGGACCCTGGTTCCTTACCAGAGGGGCCGCAGCTGCGGCTTGAATTCTGATTCGCCAGTTTTTTAAATTCCATGAGCTCCGCATGGTCCTTCTCATACGTCCTCTTCAGGTTCTCCACATACTGCATCATCACCTCTGTTGCCTTTGACATGCGCTTTTCCTGCAGAGAAGGGTAGCATGAACACCCTGGCATTTGGGGGGAAAGAAAGGCTCATTGGCACTTGTTGGCACTGAACGAGGCTCCAGACTGGGAGAATCAAAAGGATACAGGGACCAATCAGATGTGACTCTTCCTTCTAAGAGTTTGCTGTCCACCATGTAAGCTGAGAGGCCCTCACAGTTACCAGCACTCAGAGAATAAGCACAAGCACTGCCACAATGCTTCAGGGGATGACAGGTGGGCGAGTGTCAGCTTGTGTCAGGGAGGCCTCGTGGAGATGGAGTGCAGTGGCTGAAGGGGTGTGGGCACCACCTGCACGTTCAGATATGGACAGAAGGGACAAAGAGCATTCAGGACAAAAACTCCAAGAGCAAGAGTCCAGAAACAGGAAACCATAAGGCTTGCATCTAGGTAAAGGGTTTATTCCTCAAATAGAAGTCCTTTGGAGAGCAAAAGGGAGTGCTATTAACAATCATGCCAGGACCAAAACCTACCTATAAGACCTGAAACAGTAAAATACATAGAAGAAATGGAGGTAGTAAACTTAAGGACCTTGGTCTTAGGATTGTATGAATTTGACCCCGAAGGCAAGGTAAGTAAAAGCAAACAAATGAATGGTTTATATTAAACTAAAAAGCTCTGCACAGCAAATGAGACTGTCAACAAAATAAAAAGGCACCCAACCAAATGCAAGAAGATATTTGCAAATAATACCTCCAGTAAGGGGTTAATACCCAAAATATGTAGAGAACACATACAACTCAACAACAAAAAAACAAACAGTCCAATAAAAAAAAAATGGGCAGAGGACCTGAACAGACACTTCTTCCAAGAAGACATACAAATGGCCAACAGAATGTGAAAAGATGTTTAACTTCACCAGTTATAAGGAAAATGCAAATCAAAACTACAATGAGATATACCTTCACATCTATTATAGTGGTTATTATCAATAAGATAATAAATAACAAGTATTGGAGAGTCTGTGGAGAAAAAGGAGCCCTCATTCACTGCTGGTGGAAACGTAACTTGTAATAGCCTATATGGGGAACAATACAGAGGTTCCTCAAAAAATTAAGAATAGAGTTGCCATGTGACCCAGCAATACCTCTTCTGTGCATCAATACAAAAATTTGAAAACATTTAGTCATAAAGATATATGAACCTCTATGTTCATTGCACTATTATTCACAGTGGCCAAGACATGGGAAAAACGAAAGTGTCCTTTAATACAAAATCGGATATAGGAGATGTGGTACATATACTCACAGACAATGAATACTACTCAGCCACAAAAAAGGATGAAATACTTCCCTTTGCTATGACATGGATGGATCTTGAGAATATCATGCAAAGTGAAATAAGTCAGATTAAAAAAAAAACAGGAACCATATGATTTCACTCAGATGTGGGATATAAAACAGAAAGCAACAAATGAGCAAACAAAATGAGCAAGCAACAACTCATAAGTACAGACAACAGTATGGCGGTTACCAGAGAGGAGGCAGAATATGATAAAGGGGGTCCGGTATATGGTGATGGAAGGAGACTTGACTTTGGGTGGTGAACACACAGTGTAATAGATGATGTGTTATAGGATTGTACACTTGAAACATAATTTTATTAACTAATGTCACCCCAATAAATTTAATAAAACTTAAAAAAAATTATTCTGGGACAATAGGCAAATACCAGGACTGTCTGGAAAGCCAAGAAGTGCAGGGCACCCCACTTATATAGGGATCAGCAAGCAACTGGGTTTGTTCACAGGAAGCAAAAGCAGCTAGGGCAGGGTTATGAAGGGCCTCGTCTTAAAGTAAGTGGGTGACAGAACCAGGCCGCAGGTGGAAATCAGACTGGTGGGTGCGAGACTGGTGGCAGTACGCTGTGCCCGAATCAGCCTGTTGGAACTAGAGAGAGACGAGGGCTGAAACTCAGAAGCTGGGGGAGGGGGAGCCATTTGGAGAAGGCTGAAGGCTGAAGTGAGCACCACGTGGCGGGGGCCTCAAAGCATGTTTGGGAGAGCTGTGAAGATAAGAACATTTTCCTCTGCTTATACCCTTTGGATCCCTCAGAGAGTGCAGGCCAGAGCCTGACTGCCCACAGAGAGACACGTTCAGTGACCATGACCTGGGGAAAATCTCCACAGCCATGAGCTGAGACCAGCCACTTCCTTTGAGCTCTCCCTTTGTGGCTGACTCCATCTGGATTGACTTCCTGGGTGCTGCTGCTGAGTCAGGTGTTTTCCCCCCAGAAGATAGAGGGTTGGGACAGCCAGTGGCTGTCCCTCCCTCATTCTGTAAGACCTGCTTGGGTTCCTGTGCCCCAGGAACACCCCTCTGATGCAATCAATGCAGCAGGACATAGGTCCAAGGTAACAGCGGCAGTGATAACAACACCCAGCGTTTTGCAAGTATGACAGAAACCCTACAAGGCAGACACTACCATCAGCCACATTTCACGGTTGGAGAAACTGGAGCACAGAGAGCTGGGTAACTGGCCCAAGGCCGCACAGTGAATCCTGGTGGAGACAAGATTGGACCTCAGGCAGTCTACTCTTGCGACACTGTCTGGGATCAGGGCGGTGCTGTGTGTGCTTCAGGACTTCGAAGTGGCTGGGAGGGAGTCCGACCTGGGCTGGCACCCCAGCTCTGCCACTCCTACTGCTATCACTTTTCTGAGACTTCCTGTCTTCATCAGGGGATAGGACATTTACTTTAACAGCGTTGCTGAGAGAATTGCATGAAACAAGGCAGTTTTTCCTAATGCATATTGGCCAAGTACTTGTTCCATGGGACTTGAACAGATATTTTGTGACAAACATAAAAGGAGTGGTGGTGGTTCTTCAGTCAAATACATTTGGGAAATATGGCAGTAAACTTAAACAGGCTCTCTGCTGTAAGACTACTCAAAAGCTTGATTATTCCAATGTGCGTTAGGAATCTCTAACAAAAGAAGGGAGTATGCAGTAGTTCTCACACTTAGGTGCACACAGAAAGTTTTCCAAAAGAGCTCTTGAGGGTTTAGTGGTCCACCAAAACAACAACAACAACAACAACTTTGAATAAAACCACAATAATGTATATAGGCTGCCTGGCACAGAGGAAGCCTTCAGTAAGTGGTGCCTGTAGTTGTTACTGCGTGCATGATCGCTTTAGTTGCTGTGGGCAGAGCAGAGCCGGTCAGTGGGCTGGGACCTGCAGGGGCTCACCTGGCGGATGGCCCCCACCATCTCAGCCCGGCTGGAGAGGCGGGTGGCCAGGCGGTGTAGGACAGCGATGTCCTCCAGCAGCTTCTGGTAAGTCTCCCGGTGCTCACAGTGCTGCCAGAGAGAAGCTGAAGACTGAGGAGTGAGAAGGAACATCACCTGAGGTCCTCACCGGATGAGCCCTGGTCCCCATCCTGTCTGAAAGGAGTGGCCTCTGCAGGGCCAGCTACAGCTTCTTCTGGGGATTAGAGAAGCCCAATGTGGACACTCTATATGAGAGGGGACCCCCCAAAACTGGAATTATCTTCTGGAGAGCAGATCCCCTGTAGTACAGGCTTCCCTTGCTAGGTGAGTGTTCTAGGAACCCATCTGTATCAGTGTACCAGCTGGAGTTGTTGTGAGAGGCTGCATTCAGCTTCAGTGAATTTTTTGTGAAGACTCTTTCAACTCATTTACCCATTTCATGATGGGTGATTTACAAGCACACCTGCCCACACTGCGCTGCATGTTCAGCAGTTTTTGAACAAAAACAACATGACCCCAAGCCTATTCACCCAGTCTCACCATCACCCTGAGCAACTGTTTTTATTTCCCCAGATGAAAAAAATCCTCAAAGGGAAATATTTTGCAGATGTGGAAGAGGTAACACACAAAACAGCAGAAGCACTGAAAGGCATCAAAATCAACAAGTTCAAAAACTGTTTTGAGCAGTGGGAAAAAATGTCAATAGATGTATTGCATCAAAGAGAGAGTACTGTGAAGGTGACTGAAGTTTAAACATGTGAGAATAAATATGTAATTTTTTTGTAAATAAATTCCAGGGTTTTTTGGGTCCCCTCTTGTGCTTAGTGGACTAACTGAAGGGACTCACATCTAGGCCTCTGGTTCCCAAGGAGCTCCTTTTGCCATCCCAGCCCCCACCTGAGGAGCTCCCGAGGGCTCACAGGGCTCACCCACTGTCCTGAGGTCACCCAGGCCTTCAGGGTCTCTGCCTCAGCTCCTCCCAGCACTCTGAGGAAGACTGTCGGGCTCAGGGCCTTGGCCTGATTTCTCATTTTGGGAGATGCTGCTTGGTGACTGAGAAAAGCAGGACCCCCAGCATAGCCCTTGGAGAAGCCCCTCCTCTGAGCGGTCCCCAGTCAGGACCCACAGTTACCGTAATGGAAGCTTTGAAATTTTCCAGTTCCTTCTCTGTGTTCTCTTCCGTCAGGTTGCGTTCCCTTTCAGCCTGGTTAATTCTAGATTCCAGGGTATAGCTGTCATTTCTGAAGGCCAACGACAGTTGTACAAACACGTTCTGTTGGGAAAAAGAGTATAGGAGAGGTGCTAGGAGGAATTATTGCAGAGAACAAGGCCGCAGTGCAGGTGTGTTCCTTGCATGAGCATTTTACATCAGTTCCTGGAACCAGTCAGCAAAGCAGCTGTGTACCTGTGAAACTCCTTTTATAGTCAACTACACACAGGATGGTGGAGTGGTAACCTGAGGCCCATGCTAGGGCCTTCCCAGGACCCGAAGACCAGTGCATTTTACTGAGGAATAACAACAGAAGAACACTCGGCTTTTCCCTGAACTTCAAGAAAATAACATCCTGTATTTAGGTTTAGATAAACTTGGGCCAACACAGCTGATTGTGTAAGCAGTTTGGAGTCACACAAGGATTTATTACACGTAGATTTTGGAGGTTTCACATGAAACTACTGTAAAGGAAATTTGAGATGTAAGGCTTGTTGACTTAAAGCAAACTGGAACTAGCATCTTGTCTAAGTATTCCAAACGCTCCATCTAAAGCAGCTTTAAGAGCTGCCACGAGATTAAGTAAGGCCAGGTACGATCCCAGCAGGAGCTTTCTGGAACAAATATTCCATGCCAAAAATGCAGCCTGTATGAATGAACTTTGAAAGGTGATATTGATCAGACATGGAATTCCTGGAATAATAGGAAACTACTGGGGAGAAACTAGGGGAAATAGACGCACTACATAGGAAGGAAGCAATGGCCTTTATTTTATTTTTACAGCTTTCATTGCCCTGCCTGAGTCAAATGGAAGAAGATTTATACTGTTGGGCAGACACAACTCTGCCTGAGCTTCTGAAGTGCATGTAACAAGGCCCACATGGGCAGAAACCTCTAGGCAGAGAACTGAAGGCCTTGAGTGGACCCAGTGATAGTGATAATGGCAACAGAGAAAGCTACTCTTCATTGAGCACCTACTATATCCCAGCAATGCTATGAGTTGTAGGGACCTTTGCTCACTTGCTCCCACAAAACCCTCTCTATAGGAACTGCTATGTCCATATATGGTTAAAGAGACCAAGATCAGAGAGGTCATTAACTTGTTCAAGGTGACACAGAGTAGCAGAGCCAGGATTCAAGCGTGGACCGAGTCCAAGGCCTGTGCTACTTCTGCCATGCTGAGCACTGACTGTGTCTGTATGCATCCGAGGACAGGAGGTGGCCCTGGTAAGCCAGCCATGGCCTGTCTACACCAAGGTCAGTGGGTGGAGAGTCTCTTTCTTATCCAAGCCTCAGTCCAGTTAAGTTTATCAATAATGCTCAACATTGAATGCTCTATATCTGGGTTAGCCCCTCGACGGAAGAGTAAACAGAGCCCATCAAGCCCAGGCTCCACAGTTTCATAAAGCACTTGAGTTACTTACCTCAACTTCCTTTTCAGTGAGCGGAGGGGCACTGTGAAAAAGAAAAGGCACACAAATGAACTTTATCCCGCCTACGAAATGCACAAAAAGGTGAACAAGCAGCAGACTGTGGGTTCTAGAAATGGAGTAAGCGGAGTTACTGAGATGGACAAGGTTCAGGGTAGGCTTTGTGTGAGCTCTGTAATTGGCAAGACGTCCTACCAGATACTGACTCCCACAGAGGAAGTGTGGTGGGAAACATCAGACCCTGGGCCAGTCCTCCGCCAGGGCCCCTATTATCGTGATTTCGGACAAGTCGTTTTCATCTCTCTCTGTTTGCTCATCTTACAGGAGTCTTATAAGGAATACATGACGTATGTACACATGTGTATATACATATATAGGCATATACATTCATGTATGTACGATACCCACACATGTCTTTATATATAAATGTGTATATGTGCATGTGTGTGTGTTTACATGTGAATATTCATGGCATCCACACTCAGGTGTTAGCTATTATGACTCATTCACAGGCTTGTTTGGGGACTTAATAAGAAAATACATGTGGTACATATTTATTAACTGTACACATCTAAGCAGCCATTACTACTTCAGGGCTACCCATGCCTGCACAGCCTGACCCTCCTCCTGTCTCTGAGGATTGTGTCAAGGGTGCATGTGGGTCAAAGAATAAAAGGCAGGAAAGAGTGGCCAGAGCTCTTGTCCATAGCAAGAACCGCTTCTGATAGCTGGAATCAGAGTCTGTGCAGGAGAGTCCTGGCTAGCACAGTGGCGTCATTCCGAGAGCTTCCCCATCATGTGCAGTGCCCACAGCAAGCAGTTCTTGTACCTGCACACACACCATGTTCCTGCTGCTGCAGCTCTTGCTGGTGGCTAAAGCTAGCCCTGCTCTGAAACCCAGACAATTTAAATAATGCACGGGCCCTTTCCTGTGCTGGGCTGGGAGCACTGGGAGAGGTCCTCCCAGCGTCACAGGACTTGGCAACAGCATGTGCCATTGATAAGGCTCTCAGGAAACACAGCTTCCTCCTTTTGACAGGTGTGGAGGAACCCCAAGAGCAAAGGTAGGGGTCAGCTATCTCAGCAAGTGGCTGATTCTCATCTCAACAAGTAACTGTGAGAGCCTTCCTGTTAGGATGAAGCAACAAGACCCCATGGCCAGCAAGTCAGCAAAGTACAGAGCACGAGATAAACAACTGCAAAGATGGTTGATGCTTACAATTCTTGTCACAGCCCCACCCGTCAGGCCCTTTGGGCTGTGGGCCAGCCAACATAATCTCATGGAGCATGCACACACTGCATAAATGATTTATCAGAACTCATTCAGCTTGCCATTGACTCCTGGTTTTGTTTGGATAGTATGTGGTATTTACACATTTTTACCGCTTATTAACAAAACTTATTTTTCTATATTGATGACCCATTTTCTGCATTTTTTTTTGTATAGAACACACTTTTCAAAAACATGTACAAGGCCCTGAGAGCTCAGGCAGGTGTGCTTTCACAGAAGGAGCCACATGACACAGCCAGCACCTGATCCCGAGAGCTGTGCCTTGTGGACTGGCATAGGCAGCGAGGGGGCAGAGCCTGGGGCCTCCAAAGGGATACAGGTCTAGCAGGTGACATACCAGGTGACCGTTCTGGATGGCTTTGCCTGCCTAAAATTCAAACTCCCTTATTAGGCCTTAGAATAAAATCGGGGTCCTCTGTGAGCCGGCCTCTACCAGACTCCCCACTCTCCAGCCACACCGACCATTCTGTGCCTCAAACGCACCTCGTGTGGCCCCAGGGCCTTCGCAGTTACTGTTCTTTCCTTTTGGTTCCCACTCTCTTTTGTAACAACTTTACTGAAATATAATTCATGTACTATAAAATTTATGATACAGTAATATTTAGTATATTCACAGAATTTTACAACCATCACTATGGTCAATTTTGGAACTTTTTCACTACCACCCCAAAAGCCCCTGTACCCATTAACTAGCAGTCACTCTTTTCAGTCTGTGTCTTTTCCAAATGCCCCGCCCACCCCCACAGCCCTAGGCAAGCATTAATCTACTTCTTGTCTCTATGAATTTCCTTACTCTGGATTTCTTATAAATAAACTCATACAACATGTAGTCTTCTGTGACTGGCTTTTTTCACTTAGTATAATATTTTCAAGGTTCATCCACATTATAGCACATATCAGTATCTTATTTTTATGGCTGAATAATATTCCATTGTATGAAGATATCACATTTTGTTTACCTATTCATCAGCTGATGGACATTTGGATTATTTCCACATTTTGGCTGTTCTGAAAATGCTGTTATTGAACATCTATGTACAAGTTTTTATATGGACATAAACAACATCTGTCTGGAAAAAGTCCAGACAGAACAGTTTAACTAGAACAGTTTGCATGACATTGATGTAACCTGGCAGCCAAGGAGAGTGGACTGGAATGTGCATGTGTGAACAATGACAACTTCACTGTATTAGTTGGCAAGGATGGTAGATGCCATTGAGTGAGCATGTGTACTCTGTGGCCCTTGCATTCAAATCGACTGGGTAGAACAATGAAACAGAAAAAAAATTTGCATTAAGATTGAACTTCCTTCCACAGAAACTATTTGGATGAATCAGAAGGCTGCAGCAATGGGCAACTGGTGATGGGCAGCTTCGTCATGATAACATGCCAGCTCATGCATCATGTCTCATGCAGAGTTTTTTGGTGGAACATCAAATTACCCAGGTGACTCAGCCCCCTACAGTACTGATTTAGTGCCCTGTGACTTCTGGCTTTTCCCCAAACTAAAATCACCTTTAAAAGGGAAGACATTTAAGACCATTGATGAGTTTCATGAAAATACAACAGGGCAGCTAATGGCTATTGGGAGAACTGTGTGAGGTCCCAAGGTGCCTACCGTGAAGGGGACTGAGGCGTAATTGTCCTCTGCACAATATTTCTTGTATCTTGTATCTTCTTCAATAAATGTCTCTATTTTTCATATTACATGGCTTGATACCTTCTGGACAGACCTGTATTTTCATTTCTCTTTGCTATATACCTAACAGTGGGACTGGTGGTCCATATGGTAACTATATAGAACTCTTTAAAGAACTGCAAGACTGTTATTCCTTAGTGGCTGTATCATTTTGCTGAGGATTCCAAGTCCTCCACATTGTTATTGTTCATCTTTTTTAGTGTAACTATTCTAGTGGATGTAAGATGTAATACCTCATTATTATTTTGATTTGCCTTTTCCTAATGACTATGTTGAGCATCTTTTCATGTGCTTATTAACTTCTCATACATATTCTTTGAAGAAATGTCTACTTAAATCCTTTGCCCATTAAAAAAATTAGTTGTCCTTTTATTGAATTATAAGAGCTCTTTATATATTCTGGAAACAAGTCCCTTATCAGATACATGATTTGTAAATATTTTCTTCCATTCTGTGGGCTGTCTTCTCACTTTCTTGATGGTATTACTGTTTACATCACAAAATTTTTTAATTTTGATGAAAGAACTATTAATCTATTTTTTTTCTTGTTGCTTATGATTTTGGTGTCATATCTAGAAACCATAGACTAACCCAAGGTCACAAAGATTTGCTCTTACATTTCATTTTAACAGTTTAAAGCATTAGCACTTAAATTTAGACCAATGATCCATTTTTAGTTAATTTTTGTATATTGTGCAAGGTAGGGTACAATGTTACTTTTCTGTATGTGGCTATTTAGTCATCTCAGAATGATTTGTTGAAAAAAACTGTGCTTTTTGTCTGGAAATTCCTTCACCAAAATCTTTGCATGGATAACTTCTTTTTGTCATTTGCATGTCTCAGCTTAATTACTACTATATCATAGAGGCCTTCTTTGACCCTCTTCCCAATGGTCCCATGTTATTCTCTATCTGTGCCCATTTATGGTCTTCCTAGCAGCTCTGCTATCTGAAATCATTCATTCTGTTACTTGAATATTATTTGTCTCCCTGCCTAGAATGTAAGTGCTGTGAGAACAGGGACTGTGCCTTCGTGTTCTCCATTCTAATGTGTGGCACATAACAAGTACTCAATGAGTGGTTGTTGAGTAAATGCCTGTTTATTGCTCCTTTTGGTGTTTGACCCTGGAATATCTTATTCAGTAACATCTCCTTTTTGCACACTTGTTAACCAACCACTGACCTTGTCTCTAATTTGGGTCCTAGACCCAGTGTTTCTACCAAATCCATTCAGTTTGCTGACCCTATGAGTTCCTTCTTGGTATGGTTCAATCCCAGTTCTCACAGTTCACATAGAACATGAAACAAACTCCTGCATATTAAAACTCAAGTGGAAAGGAATCTTGAAGCTCTGGCTTCCTTCTAGTGGATGGCATCTTACATGACAGTTTGTCCATCTGTCTCAAACCCCAAACCAGAGCTAGAGAGTTCTGGGCCCAAGCAAGGGCCCAATTTGGGAACAGCTTCTACTAAGGACAGAAGCAGGGAGACTGATTTAGGGCCAGAGCGGGGAGGTTTGGGATGGGACCCACGGCTATTGACACAATGTACGAGAGACACTGATCTCAGTCTGACAGCCTGGACCATGTGCTTCAGAAGCTGATCTTATTCATTGACTGCAAGCTCAGTTTGGCCTCATGGTTGATAGCTGGTAGCTCTTAACTCACTCAGGGGTAATAGAGCTGCTCAGTCCCCCACTCCTGGGGAACCTGAGAAAATTTAATTAACTGGAGGCATGCCCTAATCATACTAATTGCCTTCAACTTTACAGAGGAAAAAGACGCCAACAGCCCTCTTGACCAGCCTTGTTCCTTGCAAACTAAAGAGCACTGGTGATTGTTTTGGTACTTTTGACAGGCACCTGGTATGGCTGAAAAGGCAACTCAGTCCACCCTGAATTCAATTTCTGACTCCATCACCTACCAGCATGCTGCTTTGCTTCTCTGTTCCCCCAGCTAAGAAAAACAAAATAAAATCTCCCTTTTCTGCCTCACTGTGTTGTCACAAACACCAAAAGACACACAGCATGCAAAATGCTCTGTCACCTGCAGTGCACTTGGGTACTTCTCCTTTGGTTTCCTGTTTCTGGACATTCCTTCTGTGCCTTTCCGCCAGGTGAACTGGCCTAAGTCACTCCCTCCTCCAGCTGTGAATTCAGCCTGCTTCTGACTTGTTTCTAGCACTTTTTTCTTTGTACATTTTTTCACATTTTGGAAAATCCCCACAAAATTTTATTTTATTTTTAAAATTATTTTATTGATTATGCTATTACGGTTGCCCAAATTTTCCCCCTTTGCCCTCCTCTGCTGGTACTCTCCTCCCTCCAGCAATCCCCTCCTTAGTTCATGTCCATGGGTTGTGCATATGAGTTCCTTGGCTTCTCCATTTCCTATACTACTCTTAACATCCCCCTGTCTATTTGTACCTATCAGTCATGCTTCTTAATCCCTGCACCTTTCTTCCAATTCTCCCCGCTCCCAGGTGATAACCCTCCATGTGATATCCATATCTGTGATTTTGTTTCTGTGCTAGTTGTTTGCTTAGTTTGTTTTTTTTTTTAGATTCAGTTGATAATTGTGAATTTGTTGCCATTTTAATTGTTCGTGATCTTGATCTTTTTCTTTTTCTTAAATAAGTTCCCTTAACATGTCATGTAATAAGGGCTTGGTGATGATGAATTCCTTTAGCTTTACCTTGTCTGGGGAGCACTTTATCTGCCCTTTCATCCTAAATGATAGCTTTGCTGGATAAAAGTAGTCTAGGCTATAGGCCCTTGCTTTTCATCACTTTGAGTATTTCTTGCCAGTCCTTTCTAGCCTGCAAAGTTTCCTTTGAGAAATCAGCTAACAGTTTCATGTGAACTCCTTTGTAGGTGCCTTTGCTTTTTTCTTGCTGCTTTTAAATTCTCTCTTTATTTTTAACCTTTGAGATTTTAATTATGACGTGTCTTGGTGTGGTCCTCTTTGGGTCCAACTTCTTTGGGACTCTCTGTGCTTCCTGGAATTGCATGTCTATTTCCTTCACCAAATTAGGGAAGTTTTCTTTCATTGTTTTTTCAAATAAGTTTTCAATTTCTTGCTCTTCCTCTTTTCCTTCTGGTATCACTATGATTTGGATGTTGGTACATTTGGAGATATCCCAGAGGGTCCTTATACTAACCTCAGTTTTTTGAATTCTTTCTTCATTTTGCTGTTCTTGTTGAATGCTTATTTCTTCCTTATTATTGATTTGAATCCTGGCTTCCTTCTCTGTATGGTTTGTTCCCTGTAGATTTTTCTTTGTTTCACTTAGTGTAACCTTCATTTCTTCCTTTATGTTGTTGCTATACTTAATGAATTCTCTGAGCATCCCGATTGCTAGTGTTTCAAACTCTCCACCTGATAGGTTGGTTATCTAGGTTTCATTCTGTTCTTTCTTAGGGGTTTGTTCTGTTCTTTCATTTGGGCCACATTTGTGTATTTAATTTGGCAGCCTCCCTGTGTTTGTTTCTGTGTATTAGGTAGAGCTGCTTTGATTCCTTGCTTTAGTAGCATGGACTATTATAGAAAAGTCATCTGCAGATTGTATGGGGCAGGGCCTTAGGTAATTGCCAGGGCAGGACAACCTGCTTCACTACTTTGTGGCTGTCTGTGGGGAGGGCTCAGGAAAGGGACAATGCTGCTGTGTGGCTTCTAGAGGTTTACCCAGCATTTACCCCATTTCCAGTCTCTTCACCCACTTCCCGTATGAGACTATTGCCCTTCTAGCTGCTGCCCTGGTGCAGAATCCCAGAGTGGGTGGGTTTGCATACATTCTCATTCTAAGTCTGTGCAGCCCCATTAAGCTGAATCTCCTGAAAATCCAGCAGCTCCTTCCACTGTCCCAACCCCCACTGGTTTTTACAGCCAGAAATTATGGTGATTTATCTTCCTGGCACTGGGACACTGGGCTGTGTGGTCTCACCTTGGGCTGGGATTGCTTGCTTCCAAGGTATCCCTCCTAATTTTTTATCTACCATACATGAATGTGGGATTGGCCATTCCACTGCTGCCACTGCTTCTCCATGCCACACTGTATCTCTGCGCCTCTCTGCCCATCTCCATGACTCTGCCTTTCCTACCCATTTGGATGAATGTAGTTTCTTTAAATCCTTGGTTGTCAGACTTCTATACAACTTCTTGAATTTATGTCAGTTCTGGGCATTATTTGTTTTGGGATCTAGTTGTAATTCTTTCTATGTTTGCATGAAGAGGCGAGTCATGTCTGCCTATGCCTCCATCTTGACTGGAAGTCCCCTCTACCACTTTTCTTGATGTTGGTTTAGTTGCTCAGTCCCTTTGAGTATTGCCTTAATGACTCTGTTTTTTGTTGATTATAGTGTAAAATTTGAACACATAACACCTGATGGGCAAAACTTGTTTTCCTTTCATATTTACCCCTAAAATAGGAAGCTCTGTTATGTCTGATAGCTCCTCTTAATGGCCTTTGTGCCCAACAGTTTAGTCCTCAGATTTCTGGGCTTGGTAGGAAGCCTCATTTGCAGGCACTTGTCCAGTTCCTATTGCTTAGTGGTACTTTATTTTCTCTTCTTTATACTTGAAACTGTTCATTTTTTAACCCAGTTACCAAAGCCTGTTATGTGCTGATAAAACCCTAACTCACACACTGCCACCTTTATCTACCAATGATAGATCCCTGTTGTACAGGTAAGGAGACTGGGGCTTGGGAAAGGAAGCCACTTTTTCGCCATGTGTAGAAGAGCCTGGTAGGTTTGCCAGCAAATCCTTCTTCATGTGGTCCCAAATGTTCTACATCTCCATCTATGCAGGTATCAGATCTAAAATTCTCTCAATTATAAGTAAATTGTAGAGCTGGGATTAAAACCAGACCTCCTGGCCCAAAGCCCACCACTCTCCGCTGTCATGAGCCTCTTGGTGACCCTTGAGCATGCCTATGAACCCCACTTGCTCTCTGAGTTGGATCCACCCCACCTGGCCCTTTATTATTCTTTTTGTCTGAGATGCATTTGCCCTGTCTGGACCATTTGACCCTGGTCTGTTTGGGGTCAAAAATCAAGGCTGGTGCACTACTGTGTCCCATCTAGAATCCAACATGGGCTACCTCATATGGGTCTTCTACAACCCATGCCCTGATTTTACCTTCCAGGAAGAGACTTGTGGACCCGCAGTTTGCGCAGCAGCATGTCAGAAATATTGGGCATGACATCCAAGCCACTCTTTGACTCTTCTTCCTCGATAGCTGGGGACAGTTCAGGTGGGAGTCCTGAAAGAAAAAGGTGCTTAACTTATATGTCTGTTTGAAATCACTGTAGTTCTGTTGTCAACTTGGTTCAGTGGATAGGAAGAGCTTTAACAGTTATAAGAACCTAATTCTATTCCTATGACTTTATAATTGTTACTTTATCCTTACAATGACTCAGTAAGCTAGAACTTTATTTTCTCATTTTACAGGTGGGTAAACCAAGACTTGGCAAGGTTAAGAACTTGGTTTATGTCACAGAACTAGTAAATGGCATAGCCAGGCTTCAAACCAATTCTGTTTGCTCCAAATTCTGTGTTCTTCCCATTGCTTCCCAAAGTACCAAGGAAGTTCTTATGTCTTGGGTCAGTTTGGTTTCTGGCAACTGGAAGCTAGTTGACTATTTGGCATAATGTTTGCAAAAATCCCCTCTCTGGAACAGGTTTTTCAGAAGGACTATTGGACAATTATTCTTCCTCAAATGAATTCAACAGTTCAATCATCTCTGGCCTACCTAGAAATCAGCATCTGGTTCCACATCCCATAAGTAGGAATAGAAACAGAATTTTTCTAGGGTAAATCTAATGTCATTAGGTTTTTATTTTTTTAAACCACTCAACAACACTTTATTATTTTATATATTTTAAATTAGCAAAATGAAATTTCAAAAGGAGTATGTTGCTTACTGAACCATGGAGAAACTCGTACTTATAGTGTTGATAGCCTGGTTAATTAGTTGAACATTTGGTTGGGGGAGCCATAAAAATGGTTTTTCCTATGAATTATACTTAGAAAATGTTATGAAAGAAGAAAAAACCTAACTCAACAAATACACTCTTTAAAATTTTTTTAAAAATATATTTTATTGATTATGCTATTACAGTTGTCCCATTCCTTCCCCCCCTTCATTCCTCTCTAACCTGTAAAGTCATTAGGTATTTTAAAGATCTCAAAAACAAGTGCCTCCTAGTCAACAGAACAAATGAACAGGCTTTTGTTATCTCCCCAGACTATCTGGGGTCTTGCTTTGAAGGCAGAAAGAACAAATGAAATATTTTCTTTCCCATAAATCTTTCTCTTGTTTGAAGACAGCTCTTGTACCTCTCCCAAAATTTTCCTTCTCTAGGCTCTAGCCCTGTTTTCCCAGATGCTCACTATGACCACTGTGGCCCATGGCCTCTAGCTTCTTTGCCTGCACACATCTGGTTGTTGCTCTCCCAGAGGCCCAGATGTGCTCTCACAAGGTCTTAGCTCAGGAAGGCATTGGCACATATCCCTGACACTCACATTTGTTATTCATGCAGCATAGACTTAGTGTGCCTTACTATGGGCTCACATTACATTTAGGATTAAAAAGCCTCAGATCTATTTTACTTGAGCCAAATCAGGTATTTTCATCCCATATCATGGTTACTTGCCTTTTGCATGCAAGACTTTATAGTCATACATTTTACCATCTCTAATGGGTTTTGATCTAGAATATTTCCAGCCTTCTCAATCACTTTCCAGAACTGTAGGCCAGGCTATAGGCATAGTTGTGCTAGCCATCCAAATGGAGCTAAGATTGGGAATCATGTTGATTAGAAGCCTCCTCACCAAGTGAGACCATGTAGAGAGAAGAGGAGGCATAGTTTGGCTGAAGGTAAATAATGCTTAAATACTTTGAGTTTTCCAATAACCAAATGGTGTTCATGAGTTTCCTGGTACTCAAGGAATCCCAGAAAAGTTTGGAGGGCTATTTGTCAGAGATGGGGCAGTCGGTGGTCCTTCTTTGAATATAAGATTGAACTAGATATTCTCTTAGTTACCTGTCACCTCTTGGGTTCTGTCCTGGCATTTATTGATCTCAGACATTTCCATGTGACAGATGGTAAGTCCTGTGGTGCTTCTGGCCTCACTCTACCAACACCCAGCAGAGAGATAATTAAGCAATGGGCTCCTGAGAGTTCTATATGATTGAACCATACCAAGCTCTTATAATCATGTGAAAGTTATATCAGGAGCTCTTGCCTAGAAAAGTACCCTCGGCTGAGCATCCCCCTACCCTCAAAAGTACCTAGTCAGGGCTTCTAGCCTTGCTAAAACGGTGGTCTTCAGAGTGATCCAAGAACTGATGGATCCCAGAATCAGCCAACCTCTTCCTAAATTTAACTGAATGAACTTAACAATAACAATGAATTTTAAAATCAACTAAATATATAGCAGCAACTCTCAAATATGGAAAAAGGCAATGATTTTGTTTTAAATAATGGCCAGAGAAAGACAAAACTTACTGGAAATAAATGTAGAGCTCTTACCTTTAATGACCCTTTCTTTTCCCCTCAAAGACTCAGTACTGAGAGGAAGATGAGAGAAAAAATTCCAGCAAAGAGTGCAGTACCACAGAGTGGGAAGGGGAGTGGACTAAGAACGTGAGCAGGCAGCCAGCAGAGGAGATTCAGAGTGTTTCCCTTGAGTAGAAGGGTCTCCATGCCACCATAACAATACTTTAGCCAGTGAAAAAACTGCCTGTGCTGCTATTTCTTTTTCTTAATGGCGGGGGGTGGGGGTGGGGAAGACAGGGCTACACAGTAGTGTACTGGAGCTAATTATGTGGAAAAGTATGGAGGGATTTACCAGAAAGGAAAATGAAGAGAAAGTAAATAAAACAAGCTTCTCTGATGGAGTGAGACACATGGAAAGCCCCAATTGAAGCTATTTCCCACCACCTCCTGCCCACCATTTCTGAGAAATAGCATAGTGGTCAAACTCCTTGGATTTTGTCTCTTTTCCTTCCTTTACCTGACAGGATAGTGACAGTGTCTGCTGAAAATAGTTGGATCAAAGCTGGAAAATAAATACCTGAGTAGATGGTCTCTATAATTCTACCCTGATTGGTGAAATAATCTATAACCTGTTACTCCCCACCTAAGGGAAAAAGATAAGCCCTACTTTGGTATAATAAATTTAAGTGTTGGACTATGAACAAAGTTAGAAAAAGAGCAGAAACCAATCTCACAAACACCACCATACACAGCTCCATCTGAACTTCCCCTTTTTCCCACCATCCAGCAATAACAAGGCCAGCACGGAACACCCTGTCCTCAGCTAAGTGCTGCAGGGAGGCCACAGATCTCAGATAAGGTAGGAAGGAAACTGACCTACACAATATATAAATCTAGGTAAAAAAGAAAATCCAGGTAGAAATGCCCATGTAAAAAGAAAGAAAATAGAAAGAAATGGCAACTATATAAAAATACTATAGTCAAAATAGGAAGGAAAGCATAAAGGAAAGAAGAAAGGAAATATCAGGAGATAGATGTCAGGATAAAACCACAGATGCACCCTAGCAGTTCTTTGCAAAGCAAAGGGTCGCAGGTTTGATTCCCAGTCTGGGCATATACCTGGGTTGCAGGCCAGGTCCTCAGTAGGTGCATGTGGGAATCAACCACACGCTGATGTTTCCCTCTCTCTCTCCCTTCTGCTCTAAAAGCAAATAAATAAAATCTTAAAAAAATATATATAGATGCAACAAACACAGCAAAAATGCATTTTTTGTGCATAATTTGTACCACAAATTCTTTGATTTGTGGAAAAATTGGAACCTGAAGAAAACAAAAATAGGAAATCAGAGATAAGATGAGAGAATCACAGAAAGATTGTAGAAGAGCACAATTTAAAAAAAAAGATTTTATTTATTTATTTTTACAGAGGGAAGGGAGGGAGAAAGAGAGAGAGAAGCATCAATGTGCAGTTGCTGGGGGTCATGGCCTACAACCCAGGCATATACCCTGACTGGGAATTGAACCGCGACACTTTGGTTCACAGCCCGCGCTTAATCCACTGAGCTATGCCAGCCAGGGCAGAAGAGTACAATTTAAGGAAATAAACTGAAGACCTAAATAACAGAACTAAGCAGGAAATTATAAAAATATAGAACTAACCCATGTGTTGAAAATATGAAAGAATAAAACAGATACAGCCTCAAACTGAATTAGTAAGGAGGATGAGAGAGACTGAGATGAGCACAAGGAATTTAAAGCAGGAGAAATTAAAGTATTTGGAAATGGAATAATGAATCTGCACTTGAGGCAATGTTGAGAAGCTAATGGATTATGGTGTCTCCAAAGTAGTAAAAAAAAAAAAAAAAGAAACAAAGAACATATCCAAAGGCAAGAAGAGAAGAAAAATTTCCCCCAATTGAGATAAAGCTGAACTGGCAGATTGAATTTTATATAGGTATGAAGTACTTCTCCAGCTACCATCATAGAAAGAATAAGCCATACAAGGAGAGGTGAGGACTGAAGGGTGCTGGAAATAGCCGGTCTCAGACTTCTCTACAACACCGAAGACTGTAGTATTCACAAAGCTCTGAAGAGAAAAGTGGCCCAGAATTTATTGCCATCCAAGCTGTCTTCCTAGAATGAAAGACAACATTTTTCCCTGGCCAGTGTGGCTCAGCTCGATGAAGCATCATCCCATACAGTGAAAGGCTGCAGGTTTCATCCCCAGTCAGGGTACATACTTAGGTTGCAGGTTCAATCCCTGGTCGGGGTGCATACAGGAGGCAACCAATCGATGTTTCTCTCTCACATTGATGTCTCTCTCTCTCTTTCTGTTTGTGTGTATATGTGTGTCTCTTTCCCCCTTCCTCTCTCTCAAAAGCAATGGAAAAATGTCCTTGGGTAAGGATTTAAAAAAAAGAATTAAAGACAACATTTTCAAACATTCTAGAATTTAGGGAACATGGCACTTCTGAGCTCTTCTAGAAAAACCATTGAATAATGAAATCCAGCTAAATAAGACATACAACAAAATCATAACATTGGGAATGAGCAGCCATAGTAAAAGCATTAGTGGTGAGCATGAAATCCTTTCACATATAAGTTTAAGGCTTAAACAACAATGGAAACTATGGTTACAGAATAAAATGTAAATACTATAGACTTAACAATATAAAAAGAATAATTTATCATTGTATATACGTAGATGAAAAGGTAGGAAGAAATAATAAAGGTGCCATTTCATCTTTTCCTATAGGATGT